CCCAGAAAATGGCAGCTGGCCAAGTTGGGTGCATAAACTATTCCAATGGTGTAAGGGCAGTTACCATAATTCACTCTGATAAAATATCTCCACCCACACACACATGCATACACACAAAGACCCCTTAGTGCACCTTTGGGCAGAAATACCAGCATGTTATGTTAGCATACTTGTGACCATTCTGGTCTTGGAAGTACCTGCAGCCACAAAGTGTTGCCCAAACTACCAATGAGGCAGTAATCTTCCAATTTTGTTTTGTGGTTTTCTTGTAGAAGAGTTCGGGTTTTCTTTTTTATAAAGTTCAAGACTCATCTTTTTACTGGCTTGGCCAGCCTCTTTAAGATTAGGGTATTTTAAGCTCTCCAGTGGTAGGTATCCTTTTAAGAGTATTATTTCTCCTCCTCCATTTCTTTTCTGCCCCACAACCAAAGCTCTATGGGCTGTTTACACAGACCATAAAAACAAGTAATAAAATTCATTAAAAACAGAAAAAATAAAAGTTTAAACCAGCTAAAACAGTTAATAAAAACATCCAATAATAAGGAATAACAAAAGACTGACTCTGCAAAAATACCTGGTGATCCTCCTTAAGTCCCTGGGTAGCAGAGCAAGTCTCAGAAAAGTCTCTATTTTAACCTGACACCAAAAAGATGACAGATTTGCTGCCAGACAGGTTGAAGTGGGGAGGTTATGTCATAGAAATAGCTACCAAGAAAGCCCTCTCCCTTGTTGTCACCCTCCACACCTTCAAGTTGGCACTCAGGAAGCCTCCAGAGGTTGAGTAGTGTCTGGATAGATAACAGATGGGAGACGCATGCCAATGGGCATTGTGGTCCTAAACCAGGTAGGTTAAAACCAGAATTGGGAGCAGAAGCATACAGGGAAACAATACAAGTGGGTTAGAGATGGTCATATATGTTTGGATTTGCAGGTCCCAATTATTAATCTGGCTCTTGCATCCTGCTACAGCTTTTGAAATGTCTTCAAGCTGCATGTAGAACACATTGCAATAATTCATTTTAGAGAATACCAGAGCATAGACTACCGAAAGGCAGGCTATCCTTTGTCCAGCTGAGTTATCTATTTAGTTAGTTCCCACCTGAGCTGTCACTGGAACATGTATGCAGTGCTGCTGGTCTGTACAACAATAAAAACAGAAACTTACATCAAGATACTCTGCTGGTATGTGGAGGAATTCCAATTAGGTTCCCTCACATATAAGCTCAAGAGAACTATCTGCCTTCATTTGGCATAAAAAAGAGTAGTCTCAAAACATTTAAAAGCAAGCCTCATCAAACTGCTAATGTTTAAATGATTTTAAATAGCCATCACTTTTATAAAACTGATACACATTTGCACTGATAATACTTCTGCGAGCACGTCAGTTCATATAAGCTTACTACCACATGTACCTTAGTGCACACAAACATGACCTGAAATCTGCATCCAAATAGCATGCAGTCAAGATCTTAGTCCATAGTTGCAATTTCCCATTCATGTTAGCCATTATATTCAGCATTGGTAGGCTGACAAGGGTCCTCTTGGTGCAGTCTCTGTTAATAGCTACTTTTTCTGATTGTCCAAGCGTGAACACATTGTTTCCATTAGGTACAGGGTGTCCTTTTCCAGGCTTTCAGGAATTTGGTTGAACAGTTCTCCTGATCACAATGTTCCAGACTTGGCTGCCTGCTAGGTAGTTTCTTTCTTCTTGTCCAACATGCCCTCATCTGATGGCCCCACTAACCATAGTGATAAAAATACAGCATTTGCTTTGCAAATGGCACCAAGTAGGTAGAGCACTTGCTACTGATCACTAGGCAAAAGAAGCCACAGTGTTATCAAAGTTTAACATCCCTGGTTTAACTGAAAAGGGTCATCATCATCTTGAGTCATCATCTCTTTAGAAGAGTCACTTAGGCCTTGAAGAATAATAGGGCTGCTTTTAAATGTGAAAGGCCCAGACTTGCTGCAGTGCTTCTTTGACCATGCAGCATGGGAAGTAAACTACTTTATCTCTAGGCCAAACACTCTCACAAGGTATCAGCCCTACTATGCAATGATAGGTCTATATTGATCTTTCTATACCTGCTGTTGAAAGCTGAGATTTGGAATGATGTCAAGGCAGCTAGTACATCAGTGATTCTGCCATCTTCATTCCATTCTCCAATTCCAGAATGCCACAAATATGAACATTCTGGCAAGAACTTCTGACTTCCACATGCAAATTTCTGACATCTATTTCAGGTAGTTTGCATAAATCTCAGTAATCTGCATCCCAGCTGGAGTGATTCATCCATTGTTGAGAAATAACAGCTGAAAAGTTAACTATGAATTTTCTCCTGAAGTGGCTTAAGGGTGGAAGCCCACTCCTAAGCCATGTTTTCTGTGTGCTTCTGTAGGATTCCTGTAATCTTCATTATGAAATCTGACAGCACAACATCCCTTGGGCTCTGTATATTTATCAGAACCAGAGACTATCTTGTTTCCTTCTTCCCCACTCAACAGCTCTAGTAACAGTCACAAGATTACAGGGCTCAAAGTAAATTTTAAAGCATTCCTAATTTCTCTGCACTGATACTTTAGAGCTTAAATGATCAGAACTTTGGTGATGGATCAGAATCATGTTTTAGCATAACATGGGTAAAAGCAAACAAGTATATCACCCTGGCTGCCTCCAGTAATTTTAGTCCCTTCACTTAATAGCCTTACAGGGTCAAGATGGCATGTACATTACTTTCTTTACTTAAAAATATGGTTGTCAGTCCTGCTGCAGTTGGGGAAACCTTGCTCATTGCTCATTCTGCTGAGTGGGGTCCTGGACTTCTGTTCCCCAATCTTGGTGACACAATTCTACCTCTAAACACCATTCTGTAGACAAACAAGGGAGAACAATTACCTTGGGCACCTTCATTCCCAGCCTTATAAACATCAGCTACTACTGGCCTGTGTGCCCATTGGCCTGACTGAGCAGGACTCATCTCAGGATTTTCAGTTTCTGATACACTAAAACAAAACCTGAACAGGCCAAGAACTGAAACCAGAAATAAAATAGGGAAAGGTGACGAGTTACCGAGCACCAAAGGAAGACCTTTCTGTGGGGACAGTAACAAACTCAACAAATGCCACTGTTAGGAATAAGAGTGTCAGTTCTTGGTGTGCACTCTTCGGTCATGCCAACCTGGACTCTGCATCTGAGAATGAAGCCAAGTGGGGGTTGGCGGCAGAAGGCAGCCTGGGAAAGTGGACCTTCAGACTTTGAGCTGAGAGAAGTGGAGATGCTTATCTCAAGGCCACTGTTCCCAAGTGCGCTGGCAGACTCTGAGAATAACCAAAATGTACAGCTGTCAGGTAGGGACACGGGAGAGGAGCTCTCAGAGACAGACGAAGCTGGCATGACTCTTGACGCCATGGTGAACATCAGGAGAAGGAGTCAGACTTACAAGTTTGACAAATTGAGAAAAGGCATGCCCACTTCCAAACAGGCCCTCTCAAAGGGATCGGGCCCAGACAAACTCAAAAGGAGGATATCTGGAAGTAGTTGTTTAGATTCAGTTCTGTGCATGCTAAGAGATATATTTGGTGGTGATTGAGTTTATTGGCATACTCTGATGACTAAAGAGATTCTTGCAAAAGGTCTGTTGCTTTGAATGTGCAGAGGGAGGAGAGTCCCTGCTCAAGACAGCCACAGATGGACAAACACACAATTGCAAATTTAGAATTGATAACAAATCCTATATCTACTTACCTGGGGTAAATCTCATTGAAATCAGTGGACCTTACTGAAAAAATCATTTCTACATCATGCTAAATTTTATGCAGCCCTCAGTACTCTAATGCAAACAATCCTGAAGCCAACCAAAACAAGCACTGCTGAATATAAATTATAATAGCACAAATCCACTGCAGAATGAAAAACAAATTTCCATCATTCTGGCAAAAATGAGTTCCTGATGCTTTATTGAAACAAATTTGCCTCTAAAAGGTGCATTTCATAAGATCAACTCTTTATTCATGTTTTTCTCAGGATGGGAAAAGTCAATAGGAAGACAAATGAGAAGATGCTGGAGCACTGATTAAGTATCAGACCACTAAACATTCAGGCTTATTATGGACACTGATAGGAAAAAACCAATCAGTCAGTTTGGGTATACAGCCACTTTGTGGTTCAAGCAATCCTGGAATTCATTATAGATTCTGGCTATAGGTGAAAGAAAGGGCGGGTTGTGTGTGAGAAGACAGAGAACTAGACATATATAAGAGATTCAAAGTTAATGCCCAGCACCAGTCTTATTTTTCATTTGGTTGTTTTGATAGTACAGAATGTGTTTGAACCCACCACTATTTCCTAACATTTTCTGTTGGAAAGCTATATTGGTATCAGAATTCCTCCACTACATGGAGATTTCCACAAACAGTAAGATGAGGGAATCCAACATCCTTTCGAGCTGAGGATGAAGAAATACCCAATTTAGAGTCTTCAAATTGAACACAATTTTTATATTTCATTTTTAGTATCTTCCAGGGGCCCAAGGCAACTCAAAATGGCAAGGTAGAAAGAATCAGTGAGCTTATCAACTCCACAAAGTAATTTCAAACTATCAATCAGGTAACAAACATATACTTTTTTGAATCAGGATTCATTTCCCTACTACTGCTGGAAAACTATTCAGAAGCCCAATTGATGGGTGGCAGCATCACTATTAATAACACATACAGAAAGACATGTATTATTATTTTCCCTTTTCTGCCACAGTTCTAAAATATACTTGAATCTTTGGAAACTATTCTAAATAAATGTAGAAGAAAAATCACCAGCCTTTGAAGTTAAGTCACACAGAGTTATAGCCAATTTAAAAATAAAAGTATATACACACACAGATCACTGTAAGTTTCTTGTTGCACTGCAGCAAGAAAATGATATATAAAGTATGACTGAGTGCAGACTCCAGCAAGACAACTTACCGTAATCTTATAATAATTTCATACTTGAACTTTTGAGAGGGAGTTCAATTTGAGTGTTTAATGTTATACAGTACATACTATAAACTGAACATAATTGAAGAGCACGCTAACTGAATTTTAGCGTATCATCTCTCTTTTACATTATTTTACTGTACCTACTGTAGGCAGATCTCAAAGTGTTAGTACATAAGATACTCATTATACTTGTATGAGAAGAATAAAATCTAAATGGGATAAACATTATTTCATCTGCACTTGTTTTCCCAATTAAAAATTATAATTGAAGAAATAACCATTTAAACTGCCAAACTATAGAGTAAATTTAACATTAATATTTTATGATTAATTGATGTGCAGCAATATTAAAGGAAATATGATCAAACTATATTCATGCAAATAAATCTTCAACACTCTGCAAGCAGTTTGAATATCCATTTCAATACTTTGTATAAAATGGTCTTAGATATATATTCCATAAATGTTGTCAGTGCAATTGTCAGTGAAGAAAATGTGATACTACCTTTCTATTTTTTTTTTCTTTTCTAGGATATAAAAACTATCATTTGCACTGCTAAACTTTTGAACCATCGAGGTTACTTTGTGCTAGGGAAATTTCTTGGTGACATCAACTGAGCCACCTTCACCTAATGTTTTTAGACAGCTGTTACCCAAGTCTATGGGCATAAAAATATAGGGCAGCTGAAGAATCATAATTACTAGCTAAAAGAGCTATTAGAAAAAGCACTTAAAGCAGAACAGCTTGATCAACACAAACTGTTTGGCTTTGTCTATTGCTGTTGCTGATTAAAAAAAAATACAAACTATATAATAAAAAAAAGCTTAGAAAAAGTTGAATTTCTTCTGAAAAATATACTTGCAAACATGTTTTGACATTACCATAGTGTTTCACCCTTCCCCAGCTTATATTCCCTTGGAATTATAACTTAAAAAGATGTTTCTGTTAATTTATGACAATGTTCCATTATTCCATGAGATAAAATATTAATAATTTAAAATTTAATTCTCTCACATGTACTTCTAGTGAGCAGGAGGAAAACAGCATGTTAAACTATAAAGTTTGCCTGGCTAAGCATAAATAGTAACCTATACATTTTGGTTCAAAGACAGTTTGTGAAACTGCATACAGAACAATTCCTCAAGTAGTTTCCTCCTAGGTTTGTAATTGTACCTAAGGAAGATGTTCAACTACTTACAGGCAAGACAAATTTTTGCTCCATACATATTCTGAATACCCTGACTGAAATATTTTTGCAGCTGATCATTCAAATAAAAACATGTTCTTATTAAGTCCCACCTCCCCTTACCCATACTCCCACATAAAAAATGATTAACAAAAAAAAGTACAATAAACTCTTGGTAGAAGGTTCTTCTCATGAGGCAATGTAGCATATCCTACAGCCAGATTAAGACTTTTAAAAAATTACATTGCAATTTCATTACATTTTTTCATAAACATGCAACTCACTGTGAAATACAAAACACTTGGCTCTGAAGAAAGAACAGCTTTATAAAGACAGACTGCATCAATAAAATTTTCTTTCCAATTAACTTTACATGGTAATAAAACCTGCATTTTCACTAAAGCTCGGGCATCAGGTTTCATATTATAATGTAATAATTTGCTCTTTTTGAATATAATGTCCAGGAGGGAATATACACATTGACATACTAGACTATTAAAAATTCAGTTACAGAATTTTATTGATACAGCAGATTAACAAAAGCTAATATGGAAAATAAGAGGATAGGCTCTCATTACATTATTTAATAACACATAAAAAATTAAAATATTAAATCCTTTTTAAATGCTCAATGCCATGAGAGGTCCAGGAGCCTGGTTATCAATACTGAGCTGCATAAAATGAAATCTTCTTTCACAAATCTGCATCTTGCTGTTTTATTTTATCCCACATCATTCAAAAGCAATTTGGCACCTCTGAAGACAGATGGGTGCCAAAGGTAAACACTGGATTAGATACATAAAGAAAGAGAGACCATGTATTTTCTTTTACTTTCTAACAAATAGTGTCAAAATGTCACTATTTTGTCAAGCTGATTTTTTCACAGTTAAATGTCAAGAAAAATAAAAAACACAGACACTGACAGATATTGCTTGATATCCATTCTAACTTTTTTTTTTCCTTTTTCAAAATCAATAAATCTAACAGTTCTGGTATTGTCAGGTTTAAAGCCGCAGTAAAAGCTATACAAGCACTTTAGAAGTCAGAAACATTTAAAAAAAGGATTATTTACAGGCGGTTTCTTTAGTTCATGTGTCTATATAGCCAGCGCACATTACACTTCACAAAAAGAAAACCACTGTTGATGATATTAACATGTGTGTGGCTTATGTTTGTGACCTAGGAAATGCAAAAGCCGGGGCAAGAAATAGAGATTGGTCTAACTGTCTTCAACAACCCCATTGTGAGCACCAACAGCTTTTTTTCAGCCTGAAACTTTATAGTAAGAGCATTCTTCAAAGATTTCACTTAAAAAAGCTGGTAATATGGCTTGTTCATCGCCTTTCCCTTTTGGACGTCCTCCGGCTTACCTGAGAAAAACACCAAATCAAGAATTATCTGCCCAAGTTGAGGTAAAAGGATAAACACATGACAAGTGCTTTCTATAAACTCATTCCCTGCCTCCATCAAGAACCAAATCATGTTTTGAGTGCAGATGCAAAGTGCTAATAGCTTAACTTTCATCAAACCATGCATTCACATTCTGGCTAACTAATCAGCACAAATACTTTATAAATATGTGATTACAGACAGAGTAGGATGAATAAAATATTATTTGCCTAAATACATTCCAGTTCCTGAAAAGTCTAAAAAACAGTACATAAAACCTTTTCCTGTTCATTTCAAAGGGGCTTGACAGGACATTAGACTGCAGTTCTATAGACACTTCCCTGGGAGTAAATCCACTGAACCCAATAGGACTTAGTTCTGAATAGACATATAAAGGATTTGGATGCAAGTTAATTTCAATCGGACTGGATACAATCCAGAAAACGAAGAATATGTCCAATGCTTACAGACAATTTGTTACACAATCAATACAGGTACCTGGATAAAGGCTGAGAACCAGTTATCATGAGACATATTAAATAACTCATGTTTCCCTTTTCCTCACTTCTGCTACGACAGAAGAAATGCAACCAGCTGATCTATCTCACAATGAAATCTATTAGTCTCACTTCCCACAGTAAATGCAGGGAAAGAAATGAGAGTTCTCTTCAGGGTTCTTTATAAGGTCTTTGATAGCACTTTGTTCAAACTTTAAACTATGAGATTCTGAAATATAAATATATAAACATCACAGTTTGTAACATTTACTTACTCTGACTGTAGAAACTTTCTCTTCCTCCATTGTTACTTCTTGGGAAATATCCTGAGCAGGAGAACTACTTTGAAATACATCCATCTCTTCATTTGATTCATTTTCTTTACTTGCAGTTTGCTTTGTCCGTCCACCTCTTCTAAAATGGAAAACCACAAAACAAATGTTTACTATGTGCACTAATGCAGTTCACATGTAATGGTGGTAAATTGTGGGTTAACTAATCCCTGATTTGCCATGGCATATTCTGCCACCATTTTGCATATTCTAATTCTAATCAGAATAACTGGATGCTGCTATAGGACATACAAACCGAGACACTGAGGACTAGTTCACACAATCATCACAGTTTAAGCAAGCCACCATGTTCATTTAAGCCAGGTCAATAGATTATCATGGATTAAACTTTGTTAGTTTAACGAAGTTGCTTAATCCACAATTAATCTATAGTGTTTCTTGGTTTGGACATAATTTAGCTACTTCTGATGAACTTAACTGGAAATTGAAGATACAAAATAGCAGCAAAACATACCCAGCACATGCCATGGCAAATTGTGGTTTAATTAAATTAAATGGCTTGGACCAGGATACCTAAAGGAACGTCTTCTTCCCCATATGCCCTTCTGCCCCCTAAGATTGGCAACAGAGGCCCTACTCCAGGAACCCTCCTTGAAGGAGATTAGGAGAGAACATACATGGAGGAGGGCCTTTTCTGCAGTGGCGCCCAGGCTATGGAATGTGCTCCCCAGAGAGGTCCGCCTGGTGCCATCTTTATATGTTTTTTTGGCACAGGGTAAGACCTTTTTATTTAACCAATATTTCAATGATTTAAAAATTAATTATTATTAGAATTATTTTAATCTAACTTATTTTATTTATTAATTATATATTTCACTTGTGGGATATCTAATTTATTATTATTTTGTATACAGATGTTACTATTTATTGTTGCATTTATAAATTGTTGTGAGCCATCCAGAGATTTATTTATTTTTATTTACTTATTTAGTAAACTTCTATGAAAGTGACTGGACAGCCTAGAAAAATCCTAAATAAATAAGTAAATAAATAACCTACAGCTTGCTGCCATTACAGGTGAAGAGCCCCATTGTGTTTAAACAAGGTAAATAAAGATGAATTGTGAGAGAACATCTAAGCAATACTGTATTCTTATTTTCCAACAACTTTATAGCCCTATTCATTTATTTAATACAGTATTTTTAACTGTATGCTATAGCTGTTCAGATTTGCTATTTTGTCCTAGAAAGAAATAAGGGTACTGTCTTACAGTTGATGGTTTTGGTTATATTTTCTGAGGTAAATGTTTAAACACATTTTATATTTCTTACCCTTTTTTTGGCTGTGAGGATGCTGTTTTGGGTGGTCTTCCTCGTTTTTTCTGTGGTGTAGACTGATTGGATTCAGCTGTACTTATTTCAGATGATTCAGATCTGTTTGGGAAACATACTATAGTTTTATGACAAATTTAAGACATATGAGAGGTGGAAATTTGAGTGCAGTTTACAAACTACATACCTCTGTTGTGTTTTTCTTGGTGTCTTGTACTGCCGTCCTTTGGGTTTCTGCTCTATATTTTCCATTTGTCTTTCTTCTTCTTCCTCTTCCTCCTCTTCCTCCTCCTCCTCTTCCTCCCCCTCCTCTTCTTCTACAGGTTTAACTGATGTAGGTTTTTTTCTACCTCGTTTAGATGACTTTGCTGCTGGTTCTTCTTTCTGTGCGCCCCCCATAGCTGCCTTGGGAGGTCGCCCTCTTCTTCCTTTCTTTGGTGGGCTGTTTTGTTCATCTTCACTTTCTAGGACATCTTCCTTTAGTCTCTTTTCATCTGGCCACTGAGGTTCTTCAGGTTCTGAAATAGCTGCTACTCTCTTTCTCCCTCGCTGCCCACTTCTAAGTTTAGGTTCTTGTCCCAGTTTACTCAGGTCATCTATGCCCAACTTCTCTTCTGAGTCTGTAATGATTTTCTTCCTACCTCTGGGCTTTTCCAGCTCTGACTAAGAGAGAAAGAGCAGATTACCTCTCCCATCAAATATATCAAGATGCTACTTATAAAAGAAAGATTTGCTATTAAGCAAGTCATTCCCCAAATGAGTCCAAAGTATTATTTTTTACCCTAAAAGTTGTACTTTCATTCTCTCAGAGGCTAAGTTATATACACACTGAGCACAAGTCCAGAATAAATAACACAAAGGAAGTGGATATTTCAATGTCAAATGCAGGTCTTTCCTTCCTTCGTTACTCAGTGGTGAAATATAGAATAAATTTACAATTCTATATTACAAGGATGACTTATTTAATTCTGCTGTGGCAATGAAAGAAGCACTCTAAGAGATTCATTTTAGTAAACATAAACTGGATTTTCCAGAAGATCACTGTGACTCTTGATATGTAACCCATCACATCTATGACTGCATTCTGGATGGTATGTCCTATATTATTTATTTAATGTTTGTTACAATTAACTGGAAAAAGATACAATTCATCTAATTCATGCTTACAATTTCAGAGTCATCTTTCTTGTCATTCTTCTTTCCTGGCAAGGGTGAAGCCATTGTGTAGTCTTCATTTTCACTGTGGTCCATTTCAGTACTGTCAAGTCTATTACAATATAGATATTCAATGTTATTAGAACTATATTCATTCTGCTGTTCTTAACATGAAAATTAACAGTGTCAGGCAAAGACTTGAAGCAACAAATTAAGTAGAAAACGATTTTCCAAAGGTGTTTTTTATAAACCTCTTGCTTAAGTTGTCTTTTATTAAACACTAGCAAAATGGCCGTAATTATGGCAGGTAGGCCTTTCGAACATTAGAACAAACCATATCACTTTAAGTCCGTGTGGACAAAAACTAGGCCATCAAGTGGCAGGGACACAGGGAAGGCTGTCCTCACTGTAATGTTGTCCTCAAGTTTATTTCCCCACAAGAGCAAATAGCCATTTACTTACATGACAGAAGATAAAGGAATAAATTCATCAAAGACATAACCAATATGAGAAAAGACTAAACTGAGCCCACACAATTCCAATGCCTGGAGTGAGGAATGATGCCACTTTTCAGCTTTATGTCAAATAGCTGCCTATTTCTTTTGCCCCCAAAAACCCAGTACCAAAGTATTTCTACCTCAGGCTGTACTACGTAACAGAAGAACTGCTCTCACTGTTTCTTTCAAACATCAGAGGGGAACACAGCAGTAAACTGTTATTAGGTCTTTCAACAGTAAATTAACATCAAAGCATTATTCAAACACAAACCACGCAGGATGACAGAGATTGCATATGGTCAGCATTACCTTATCTCCTAAGCTTGATATTGTATCTTTATTTATAGGTACAACTTAAGGGGACTGTTGGACCCCAATAGTACACTAATACTGTCAAAACAAACAGTATGGGAGGATTAAGCTTACAAACAGTAAGCAGGGAGGCGAATCTTTACTGAAGATCAAGAATCATCCAAACACATGTTGGTGATTAAGTTCACATCAAACAATCAGCAAAATCCAGTGGGGGTTTGAGGGGCATCTTAGGTCTGCTTTCTCTTCTTGTTCTTCTTCCAACCAAATTGTTCCAGACCACCTTACTAGTTTGCCCTTGAGCCTAGAGGTGTTATTGCTGAATGCCACTGGAAAAATACATGCTTCTTTTGATTTTCTCAACTGCAGCTCAAGAGGATGGTGATCAGCAAGGGGTGGAATTAATACCTAACCCTTTGTCACTGTTGTATCACTTGCTATTGAGATATAGATATTACTTTCCCAAGAAGCAGAGGGGACTTTTTAAAAGGTCTGCTCACAGAGGCTAGTGAATGTGGCTAATAAATTCTAGAGACTCATGGATATTTTCCTGCTGGTATGGCTGGTGAATTTGTCACAGCCCTAATCACCCTTTTATACTTCCACTGGCTTTTAATTTGATTTATAGTACAGTTTTAAACTTTTAAAAGTTATATTATGCTTGATCAAGCAGTTATATGTTATTGTTGTAAATGTTATGAACCACGCAGAGAGTTCCAGCTATTGAGCATTATAAAAATGCAATATAAGAAAACATATTGAAAAACTTAGTATTTAAATAAAAACATTGAAATGAATTTACTAGGCACATTATGTGCTTCTGTAACTTAGCTAAGATACTGTGCATTATTTTTACATAATTCTAGTGAGCCAAATAACATTTGTACTGATTTAATTTCATTTATTTAACAGATATACCACCCAAAGATCATAGCAGAAAATAAATATGTAATAACAAAAAGGCAGCAACACACGAATATAAATAGAATAGAGCCAAACACCACAACCAGATCTAGAAAGGTAGGCATTTAAGCCAGCTATAGTCCAGGTACTGTTACTTCCAGCTCTTTTTGCTAATTAGCTGTATATTTTGCTACATGAAATGCAAAGCTGCCACTACTCTAGAAATAACACTAATATAGCACTAATCTGGGATACTGCCAATATGAGGATACAGTGTTTTATCTAGAGTTTATTTAGTAACCATTGAACATGGCCAATAGTTTTGTTATATTACTTACCTCGCTTTGATTCTTCCAGGTGAACTTGGGTTTGAATTGCTGCTGGCATTGCTTACAGTTTCCATTCGGGAAGACTTAGATTGAGACTGCTTGCCTGCTGATGAGAGAGGCTTATTAACTGCTCCAAGAACATTGGCTGCTTTGGGCTGTAAAATAAAAAGGCTTCTATTTTAACCTAGGTATTCATAATCCTAAATATATATCCTTCAAGTAACAAACCAAGTTTAAATATGTGGTATACACATTCTTCAGTCTCACAGCCTTCTTAGTTGAAAAATTTGTTTCAAGGCAAAATTTAATGTTAGACAAATGGTGCATACACTGGATGCTGGATGTTTCTGATTTAAGACAAGCAAGCTAAAAAAGGCAAGACAAGTTCAGTGGTGGGCCCTTATTTGCTCAGATCACTGATCACACCAGAACTGAAAGCTTATTGCAAGAATCAGGAAGAACCACCTAATCTTCTGCATTGCATTGTTATGAGGCTTCCTTGATGGTCTAGCTAATATCCTACTGGTTAATTCTATTCGGACTCTACATCACACGAAGGTGATCTTGCACAGTCCTTTGGCAAGCATCATATGGCAGTGGTAGAGAACTTGCAGCTCTCCAGATGTAGTTGAACTTCAGCTCCCATCAAACCCAGCCAACACAGCAAAAGGTTAAGGAGTGCAGAATTACAACAGCATCTGTAATGCCAAGACAGCCTTTCCATTATTATGATATAGCCATCTAAACATGCCCCTTGTGTTGTTCTTACAAAGGCCTACCTAGTATGCTCAGTTAACTGTGCATAGTATCAAAATCCATGGTCTTTTCCCCCCCAGTTATTTTTTTTTTACTCCAAATCCCATAAACCTAAGCCAATACTTGGCAAGTGCTTACGAATCATGGGAATAGTCCAAAACATCTGGAGGGTATCAGATTAGATTTCCTAATTTTAACAGGAATGTGCACTTAATGTAGCGCAAATAATGTAGATATTTTCTGTGCCTGTGACTTTACAATGAGTATATAATAGAACTAGGAACGATCCACAACATTCTGCTATACCATGAAGCAGAATGAGGAGGGGTGCAGACTCCTTTCAAGATAGAAAGTAAATTATAAAGATGTTGACATGCAGAGAGAGTTTCTGCATGTTTCTGAATATGATCCAGTATAGAACAGTTATATCGTCCATTTATTTTCTGTGCCACCCTGACTTAAACTATTTAGATTATGCAAAACTTGTTAAGAGATTGGCAATCTGTTATATTCCTAAAAATCTGTAAAGTATCAGGCATGTAGTCTAGGGATACTGACTGATCCTGTTTTGTTGCTGAAGGCCACAGTGGTCTCCAGGTCCATAGCATCCCCCACCAAGCTAAGACAGAGATGACTAGGTGACAGCAGCCTATTCCTGTTAACCTCCTCATGGCAATTCGTTATCTGCAGAGCATTCTTTGACAACTTTTCAGAAATTTGTATTAGTTCAGAATAGAGCAATTAAGTTGCTAACCAGAAATGGGCTTAAGGAACTCATCTTGATAGTTTTGAAACTGCTTCACTGGCTGCTAATAAGCATCCAAGCACAATCCAAATTGTACCTAGATAACTGAAAGAAAGTATATTTCTTAAATGTACATGATCATGCATTCAGATTTTTATTGGAGACCTGTCTCTAGATATTGTCCTCGTTTTTATTGAAAATCTATAGGTGCTGGAGAAAAAGTGATTTGTTCACCAGTTCTAAAAGGTTGAATAAGTTTCTCAGAAAAGTGAAACTAAAATAAACTAATGAACTCAACATTGACTATTTGCAGGAAAAAATCTGGCTTATTGTCTATTGTCGGCTGCTAGACAAGTTTTTGCCCAAAGTTGGAAAGGTGACAGAATCCCTAACTTGAGCAACTGGTATGTGAAAGTATGGAACCTGGCTCTATTGGAGAAACTGACCCAGCAAGTTAGTATCTGAAAGAGCATCTAGACACTGACACATTTAGGGACCTTTTACTTAGGGACCTTTTATCAGTTTCACTGACTGAGAAGGAGATGGATTCTGCTCTGGCAACACATGGCAAAATATGAACAAACTTACTTTGCTCTAGGAGCTTTTGACTATTAAATTATCTAAGAGTATTTTCTCTTTGAAATTTGACATATAAACAACTGCTTTAACATGTCCAGTTTGTATTGTGATTTTAGAACTTTAAGCTGTTTTACATTTTGTATACTGAATTTTATAATGTATTTTTATTGTGTCCAATAAAAAATAAAATAAAAAGAAATGAATTCTGGACATATGTGATTTACTTTTAGAGATTTAAAAAATAAAAGTAACACAATACATTTTTGTTATAATCGTTAGGCCTGTTCTTCCTCGTGGCTATTCAGCAGAATATTTGTTCGGTTTATACTGGATATTTTAGAAAAGAAAAATGACAGTTTCCAGAGAACTTGTTTCACAGAACCAGCTCTACAACTTTTTAGCAATGAAACCAGAGAAGAACACACTACAGTCTAAGGTTAGGAACAGAATGGCTGAGGCACTGGATAAACACAAACTGAATATGATTGAAAAAATGACAACTAAAGTGTTATCCCCCAAAAGTGTGCATTCTACAAACCTTATGCAAATGTATCTCAATTTGCCAGCTCACAGCAAAGGAAGAGATTCTAGATAAACTTTAATTGGGACATTGAAACTGAACTGAGCTTGGCAATGTACATAAAAAGATGAAGACAGCACAGAATACATGGAAAGTTCCAGCATATGGTGGACATGGGTGATAAGAGCAACTCATGAAAAAGCAGAAAGTGACTCAACTTCAGGGATAAAGACAGGTCCCTCAATCCCTGATGGTTAAAGTTGCAAAATCAATTGCTGAGAGGTTTTATGAAGGTATCAGCTGCTGGCAAGAGTTTTGGAATCAATCTGAAACCTCCATTTATCAAAGCACCAAAGTGACAACTGTTGATTTAGAACACAATCCATTGAGGCTGCCTCTAAGCCTTTGAACTGTAGCTCCGTATGAATGGAGAAGAGGTTCTAACCATTTATACTTTTGGAACAAAGACCACTAGCTGGAAAATGAAAGAGGGTCAAGATTAAGCTTCAGGGTCTCCAGGAAGAAAACAGGGACATTGAGCTATAGGCACTGTAAAAAGTCCAAATGAGTTATGTCATGATAAAAATTCCAGATTATCTGTAGTGAGAATTGGCAAAAGGAAATCTCCAACTTGTTGATGTCACCATTCCTGAAGTAAGCCAAGGACATTCTGACTGGAAGAGAGGCTTATCAGAAAATCATATCAAGCTGAGTGGAGCATATAAGAAGTGAACTAGTAGTACATTAGATTAATTTTGGATAGGCTGTAGGGCCTAAGAGCAGCCTTTAATTCCTGTGCAAATTAAGTTAGAATTGTGAAGATGCTAACAGATGAAAAACCTTTCAGTTCACAATAACTGAAATTAGAAATTAGAAACAACCGGCATTATGTGAAAAATAGAGAGCAAAGGGTTCAGAAGTGATACTATACATATTTGATACAATGTGAGGATACCAGGGCAACCATTCTGACCGGACATAGGCAGTAATTTCCTAACAACCAAGAAGGCTGTTCAGAGATTTAGAATGGATACAGTACTTGACGCAATGTCAGTGATGATCCTGTATGTAAAAAGACCAAGATATTCCTCTATACTTCCTCATAATGCCATCAGAAAAAATCAGGTAACAACAAAGTTGAGAGTAGTGATGGATATTTGTTCCATGACAGGGGCTGTCCCTCAGTCACTGTTCACTTATCAATCAGACAAAAACTGAAAACAGGCTTGATTGGGATTCTGATCCAATTCTGTCAATACACAGTGGACTTCCCTGCAGACATTACAAAGATCTTGAAAGGGAATTGGAATGCACTAAGATTCCAGAGGATAAAGAAAGTAGAATTAAGAATCCCAAAAATGACTAGATTACTATTGAGTGCTTCTCCTACCCATTTTCTGCTTGCAGTCACTATAAAGACATCATCTAAAATAGTAAAGAAAGCTAGATGAATGAATGTTGATGATTTCATATCAGGAACTGACATGATAGGTGAAGCTTATGCTATTTATATGAATGCTGCTGACAACAGGAGTGGTTCTCTGGAAATGGAAAACTACTTCTAAGGAACTGCTAATATGCTGGCAAGATGAAAGTCCCTCCTGAGAATGCCCAATCAGGCCCTGGAACCAACAACTCAGAAATCTGAAGCTCTGAAGGGAAACATGGAAGCATATGAGTTTGCTTGTGAAATCTGTCCATTCCTAGAATTCATTACTTTGGCAAATGGGGCGGCATAGAAGTTCCCTAAATAAATAATAAATAAATTACTAGCAGGAAAAATGCAGACTGTTTTGTACCACATGCATCTGTGCATATCTTTAATCTGGATTTTATCTGGATTCTTGTCTCCATTTACAAACACAGAGTAATGCTTTTCCTCACCTATGTGAGTAAGGTCTCAAATGGGGTGAATGATTAGCAAATGATCTGGCCTGCAACTGGGATCACTGGTGCTGAAAATTATCCAAACAACCATATCAAGATGGTATTTTCTCAGTACAGTAGCCAGACCATTACTGGTTGCAATTGTGTAAAAAAGTAAAAAGAAATGTACAGCACAGTGGCCTACCTTAGGTACATGAACAGTCAGTTGTCACACTGTGCAGGTAATGACAATCCAGGGCAATAGATTCAGAACCTGAAACAAGATCAGCTTTGGTGGAAGGGTTCCAGTGATTTAATTCAACTGGACGCTAGATGACAACACTACCTCTACGAGAATGGACTCTCAACTTGAAATCAACTCTCCTGAATTTTATGGAAGACAGCTGCAATACAGAGGATGCAACGAGTCCAGTGATGGAACTAAAGAAATACAGTAAGTTATGTTTGTTCTTTTAAGTAACCACTTAGCACTGCATTTTGTGCAATATCTACAAACTCCAGTGGGCAAATGTAGCACTTCAGTGACATTTTATAAAAATTTTGATGCTAAAAGGTATCGATGAGAAGATGGAAATTGGAAGCCAACTACAAGTCAAATAGCTGATGTGTCAGATTCCTACAGAGTAAAAATTAGCTGAAGTGAATGTCTTCCTGGACAGCTATGGACTTACGTGCATAAAATGACCACAAAAAGCTAAGGTTGGACCAGCAGCATCCACAAGTAGATCACTGAACAACAAATACAGTGTCAACATTAAAGACAGATGCACAATTGGTTATGTGATACCCTAGCACAGCTAAGAGACAGGTTCTGGATTACAAAAGGGAGACAGCTGGTAAAAGCAGTAATTCAGAAATGTGTGATGCTAACAGAATCAAGGGCAACCTGGAAAGAAATAGTTGCCTCTTTAATTAAAGACTGATGGTTAGTCATCGATGGAGGGAGTTTAAAACCTCTTTCAACCTCAAACAGGACAGTTTTCCTAGTGTTGATATTAGCAGCACCAGAATAGCAATCTTTGCCCCACAGCACAGCTGGGATGCAAAGCAAACTAAGCAGGGCTCCCAGGATGGCATGCTGAGTGGCAGAAGGCTGCATATGGCATAAGAATTGCCTCAACTTGCTCTAAAAAGTTAGGTAGGTGGTGACTAATAAAGTGCTTTCCAGTTGTGGTTCTACATATTTACTTGCTTTTTCAGTGGAAATGTGTGTGGTGCCAGCTCTTATACACTGTCAGTGCTAGGCTAAGTTATACCATCTCACCCCACCAGTTTTTTAAATACCAGCTAATGTATTCTGCATGCGTTTTTTCTCTACAGTTTTAACCTTGTCAATGCTCTTGTTCAGGTGTTTAGATTTTTTATTATTACAGATTGTGAGCCTTTCTGGGTGTACTTTACTAAATAGCAGCAGATTTTTTTAAATTAAGAAAATACAGTACAGTGGTGTCCTAGCCTACAATATCATCCACAGTCATAGTTTAAAATGTTGCTAGGGCAATATATTATTATGGTCAAATAAATTTATTTGTGAAGAGTAGATGCTATACAAATCTTTGTAAAAGCCCACCTTTCCTGGAGTGAAAAATGATTTCATTTCTGGAGGAAGGTAGTTTTTGGTATTACTGAAATTCTGGAAGGAAAAAAAAGAAAGAAAGCCAGTCAGAATTAAATGTTTCTGTAGTAGTTTTTTAGGGATACCAGTATTTTAAAAAACCTAGAGCAGCAAACTTATTTTAAAATATCAAATTTATTTCTTAGGGTAGCACACACGTGAAACAAAAATTATAAATTACCCTGTGGCACCTTAAGAATACCATTTCTGTCATATTATTACCATTTCTGATATCCTTTTTAAAGAAGATTTTCTTAAAGAATACCAGATTCATCATATAAACTTTTGGAAACTACAGTTCATTATAGCTCAGAGTACAGTTTATTGTAGTCATTTATGCCAAATAGAATTAACTGCCTCAAAGATGCCACAAGGTTGGTTTTACTACAGCAGGATATAGCTACCCTTTTGAATTTGTTACAAATTTAACACTTACATTAAAGAAGAGTTGACACTGAAAGTTGCTATTTTCAATTCCAACAAAACTTAAAAGATAAACACATTCAGTTCACAAGCCAAACTTCACCTTGTCAGGTTGAGTGAAATATCGAGCTGGAAGTACAGGGTCTTTGGGAGATTCCAAACTATATGTCGTACTCTTTGACATGATGATGTTCATTGCTATATCGCATACTGTGTAAAGTTTCTGAAATATAGAGAATGATCCCATGAGATTAAAAGAAGCATAGCCAATTTCTGCAAGCCATCATAAACACCGTAACTCATTAAAATTCAATTAAACTGTTTTCTACCCTGAACCTCTCAAACAGGGTAAGCACCGTACAGGAGAACAACAGACAAAATAGATTTGAACTGATCAAACATTCATCTAACTTGATAGAGTGTAATAACTAGGATTATCGTCTGCAGTATTTGTAGTGTCTAAATATTTAATTCAACTTACTTCATTCATTTTTGGATCTTCAGGTCCTTGAGCATCTTTTGTTTGTTTAATGTTTTCTACCATTTTTCTGATAAATGCATGACTATTATTTTCATTTTTAGCCATCAGTATTTCCAGGATGAACCAAAGACACCTAAAAGAAACATTCCTTATTAAACATGTGGCTGGCAAATCACCAGAAAATATCCAGTTCAGAACAGTTAAAAATAATTAATTTGTCTTCCTGTTCAGCATACCAAAAATGGTATCTTGTAAAAACAACTGACTTATGGAATAATTCTGTGGCCTATCAACATAGTTTGAGAATAAAAAGGACCAAGAAGGGGAAACTGGAGAAGTCACAATATTATTTATCCTGAAGCTGCTCCAGCCTCCTTTCCTCTTCCCTTCAAGAATACTACAGCTAGATGAGAGAAAAAAATGCAGAATAGGAGGAATTGCAATGACAATTAGAGAAATGGTACAGTGCTTGTAAACATCAGAGTTGTGGGGGGGGGGGGGTACTTATGGACATGTTGGCAGAATTGCTCCCTTACTCACATTAAATATTTCACACAAATTACCAAATCAGTATATTACTACAAACTGACACATACCGTTAAATTGTACAATGTATTTGATCTATTTAGAAAGTCTTACTCTTTAATGTCTTTCAGCTGTTCAATATCTTGAACTTTGACATAATCAGGATCATGTGCTAGAAGATGGATCGTATATGGAACAACATACTCTGGTAGAAGTGACAAAAGTTTCTCTGAAAATATAAATTAAGAGGGATAAAAAATAATAACATGTACCAAACTGTCAATTTATTTATAAAATGTGCATTAGAATATAAAGCATTTTCAACCACATGAAGATAGTTCCACACAGATTAGCATATATGCACCTAATTTTGAACTGGCAAGAAACAGATCTGGTGGAAAAATTCAGTAGTTCAATGCCACAAACAGAACAGTAGAGTTAGAAGGGGCCAAGAAGGTCATTGGGTTCAACCCCCTGCTGTTGTAGGACACCAATTTACACCATCCCATTCAGATGACTGTCCACTTTCTTTTTGAATGTCGCTAGTGTGGGAGAGTTTACGACCTCTCTAGGTAACTGGTCTGACTGTTTTATTTCCCTGGCAGTTAGAAAACTTTTCCTGCTATGTAGCCTGAATCTGGTTTGTCACAACTTGAGATGATTATTCCATGCCCTACACTCTGGTATGAGTGAGATGAGGTCTTATCCTTCCTCTTTGTGACAGTCTTTCAGATACTTATAAATTGATATCATGTCCACTGTCAAGTCTTCTCTTCTCAAGGCTGAACATGCCCAGTTCTCTCAGTCTCTTCTCATAGAGCAATGCTTCCAAACCCTGGATCATTTTTGTTGTCCTCCTCTGGACTCTTAATTTTTCTGCATCTTTCTTAAAATCTTGCTGCCCAGAACTGTATTCTATAGGAAGTCTGACTAGTGAAGAGTATAGGGGAACTATTACTTCTCACATCTGGGAAAGTAATACTTCTATTAAGGCTTCCCAAAATAGCATTTGCCCTTTTTTGCAGCTGTACTGCATTGCTGGCTTATGTTTATCCTGTTATCCACAGTAACTTCAAGGTTTTCTTTTCACATTCTGTTGACCCACACATTCCCCATCTTGTATTGATGCATTTGGTTTCTTCTTCCTAGATGGAGGACTTGGCAATTGTCCCTACTGAATCGCATTCTGTTGCTTTTCAAGATCACCCTGGATCTTCATTCTTGTCTTTTAAGATGTTCATTATTCCACCCAGTCTTGTATAATCTGTACATTTGATTGTTGTTCCTTGTGCTTCCTCATCTAAATTAGTAATAAAAGATATTGAAGAGCACTGGGCCTAAGACTAAACCTTGTAGCACCCAAGTACTCTGTAGTTCTCAGATTCACCTTTTTTCTCTTTTTGAAGTTGGGGATGTTAGCTCTTCTCCAATCATCTGGCACTTCTCCTGTTTTCTGTCAAAAATAATAGACCATGTTTCTGAAAGTGCCTCTGCTAGCTCTTTTATGACTCTGGGATGGAGTTCATTGGACGCTGGAGATTTGAACAGGTTTATTCCATCTAGATATTCCTTGACCGTTTGTCTGTTGATCTTGGGCTGCCATCCCTCACTTTCAGTCTGTACTTTCTCTTCGCTGTAGATCTTTATGTGGGGAAAGCCTGAGGCAAAATAGGAACTGAGCATCTCTGCCTTTTCCTCATTTGTCACCCTGCCATCCACTTTAAGTAGTTGGATGCCTTTCTCTTTCAGATATCTTTTGTTTTGAAGAAGAAAGCACCTAAAGAATGGTTCCTTGTTGTTTTTAGTATCCCTTGCTAGTCTCAGTTCATTTCCTGCTTTAGTTTCCTGATGCTGTCCCTGTAATTCCTTGCTATTTGTTTATACTTTGCTTTTGTGGCCTGACCCTGCTTCTACCTCCTGTACATGTTCTATTTTCCTTTCAGACTGTCACTTAACTTTTTGTGGAGCCACATGGGCTTCTTTTCTTGTCTTCTACACTTTTTTCTTGGATAAACTTAACTTTACATATTGTGAGCTGAGTGTGCTGCCTAAGAACTGAACAACAGATCTTGCCTCTGTCATGAACTCAGTAGTTGGCCTTAGGACAATTTTAAGACCAATTTTCAACATTGGGGCTCAGACCAGGAACAAATCATGTAATTAAGAGAATTGTGCTTTATGTATTCCACATAAGTGGAATACATGCTTACACCACTGGGTATAAAGAGTCAGGTGCCACATATCTGGAGTTAAGTAGAAAAGCCCCCAGGCAGACATGACTAGCAGCCTATTGGGATATATTCACAGTACACAATTGGTGAAAAGACCAAAGTTACATAAGTAAATTCAGTACTACGTTTTAAACAGCAGAAGCTTCCAGAAACTTTTCAACTCATAGCATCTTACAACAACCAAATATAGAACCCTGGCCACATGCAATTGTGGCAGTTATAATGCAGGCTACATGCCTTCACTTCTTCTCCTTGATTTCTTACCACTAACAGCTGCATGCTGTTTTAGATACTCCCGTCTCACATTTATGTTTTTCACTAGGCATTGTCTTGCATGAGCTCTTCTCTCTTTTACTGGGTCTTTTGCACACAATGCACAAATAGCCATATACTCCAGAGGTAACCGTAGCCTTGATAGGCCTTTATGAAGTTTCTGGGCAAATGCTTGCCTAACCTGGTAACACTCATCCTGAAAGAAAGAAAATACATTTTGTACAAACATGACTACTTAATACCTGCATGAGAAAATGTAAAAACAAATATACTTCACTATATATGTTACAGTGTTTATGATTATGTTAACTTTCATGTTATGGATAATTAGAGCATGCAGAGATAGCAACCCACCCCCGTTTCCTTACATTAATGGCTAGTGCACACAGCTGATACTGTTCTAATGTGATGATTTCATGATAACAAGGCTCCTGTGCCAGCTTCACAACAGCACTAGCAGCAGCTAGCCTCAAACGAGACATATCAGGTTTGCTGAAAAGTAAACAGAAGGACATGGGCTAATTAGTATAAAATTGTAAACTATTTTATAGAAGCAACATCACATTTGCATTGCACTACATTTTTCATGTCAACCTGTCCAGAACAAATGATACTGCTGAAAGTGGAAGCATCAGAACAACTATATTCTCAGGTTATTAAGGTAAGAAAAGCATGAACATTTTTGCCTGGGCACACAAACTGATTGCTCCTTCTTGCCATGAATAACCTACAGAGTCTCTAATTAACTGTAGGTTCCACTGTATCCAAAAGCTTTAGAATGAGCCAAGAACTGTGGTTTAATATCCTGGTTTATAGTTTTATGAATTATACATGAAAAAAATGAAAGAAAAGAAGGAGTAAAAATTAGTATAGCATCTGCCAAGTATAGCATCTCCAGGGTTTGGAAACCACAACTCCATGTGCAACTAAACAGGTGGGTCAATTCTCTGATAATGTCAGTCATCTTTCTTGAAATGAATCTAGAATCACTCTACATATGAGCAGCAACGCACAAGCCGGTTCTGTTTTGCATGTATCTCTGCAATTGAACTGTAACATGCTTTCTTCTTGCATCAACGGCTTAAAGTGTTGTTTTAAAGTAATTGTTTTATATACCTAATTTTCCCCTGTTCCGTCAGGTCTCCATCGCTGTGTAATATTGTTGTTAACAACCTCAGGGTAGAGGTTCCTGATTTACTGTGATTATTCTTCATTCCTAGCAACCATCGAACCATCATCTTGATGGCCTGAATCTGAAATGTTAATAAATAATACATGAAGAATACAATCAAGAAAAAGTCTTGCGGCTCCTTAACAACTAATACTTTTATATATCTGATGCAAGATTTCACGGAAGTTGTCTGATTCATTGGATATACGAAATGTCAATCTCTGACACATATACAGCTGTGGGGCTGGGGTCAGGGAGACCTCAACAATGGTGTCAAACGGGACATCTGATGTGTAATATTACTACATCATCTGCTCCTTCCCCATCATATCCTTAGGTTCCAGTGCATGACGGTATAAGTTAAACTTTGAAGCAGGAACTGGCTTCCATGACTGCCATAAATTAGTAGATGACAACAATGGCACATTTATCTCTTGAATTTTTCCTCTTGTGAGGAGCTCAAGGAAGCACACACAGATGCATTTTACCCTCACAACAACCACCATGTGAGTTTGGTTAGACAGAAATTAAAAGACTAACCAAATGTCACCCAGTGAGGTTCATGACTGAATGAGGACTAGAACCCAGATCACCCAGGTCCAGCACTCTAACCGCCATATCACACTGGTCCTCAACATGTGCTCAATTCCTTACTTTACATCATTATTCTGCTTCTTCTAGCCACGACACACAGCTTAATAAGAAAGGCCTACTTGCTAACCATTGGAAATAATGTTCAGATTCCACTTTCAAAAGTTTTTAAAGTACTACCTACACTCTACCAAGTCTGTCAGCCAGTTCTGAGGTCTTGAGGTCCACATTTGTACAGAGGTCCCCTTTCCCTGATCTCATAGCAAGTATGCACATCCCTGAAAGTGACTAATTACAAGAGCACCTATTTTGTTGTTACGTGTACTACTAAGATATTTGCACTTAAGCTATATGTTAGTTTTTCCAAACTAACTAAAAACTTTTTACATGAGCATTCTACAGTGTTTTCATCACTGGAGCTATTGCAAGTTGACAATCTGAAAACCCCCTAAAAGACTTACTTTAGCAATAGCTGTTGAGATACATCCTTCCAACAATCATTAACTTACTAGATTGGGAGGAGCAACATGCAGCCAAATGCAGTCCACATCAGCCTGAGTCACTGCTTCTACATTACAAGCGGTTGGCTGTACTAACAAAGTTTGCAGTTCTGGACACTATTATTTATTATATTTATATTCTGCTCTTTTTCCTTTCAAGGAACTCAAGGGAGCTTTCATAATTCTCCTCCTCCTCTCAATCTCATCTTCACAACATCAACCCTGTATGGGAGGTTGGGCTGAGAGTCTGGGACCGGTCCAAAATCACCCAAAAGTGACAAATTTAGCTTGCTGTCAATTGGTTCCTGGACCATACAAATCTGGCCCCCACTGCTGTTGACAAAAGTAATATAAACTGCAACAAAGGTACCCTTCTAATGGATCATTTTCAGGAACATGCACACAGAGTCAAAGATTTTTCCTTACAGGGTTAAAGAAGAACTGAACAAACCCAATGACAGGGTTTACAAGTAATGGGCAACCCATCAAGGTAACTAAACATAGCAGGTTGTCTTGTGTGAACCTGTATTACTTTCTGCAGGATAGCTTTTTTGCGGGCAACAAGCTGACCTGGCAACCTATGGCTTTTTGTAGGGATTGTTGGACCCATGAAGAGTAATGTCATCTGAAGCTAGGCTGTGGTACATGGAAGCAGTGAGTGAACTGCTTGGCAAGAGTTGCAAAAATCAGTATTTTAGACAGCTGGAAATATGCTGCAGTCAACATAAATATGCAAAACCAGGATTTATCTGACTCACCTTTACAAGAGTCTCAGGAGAAACTTCTTCATCAGGCACCCAGAGCTTAGTTGTCTTTTTGCCTGGCATCTGAAAAAAAAAATATTGCTATGGCTTTCATGCCTTATGCTTATATGTAATTTATCATAACTTATCTGACACAACATCAGGCTTGTTTTATATCTTGGTGTATGTTGTTGTTCAGTTGCGAAGTCATGCCTGACTCTCTGAAACCCCATGGACAATATTCGTCCCATCCAGGAACCTCAACTTCTGCCATCCCCTTCTCCTTTTGTCTTCAATTGTTCCCAGCATCAGGATCTTCCCCAGTGAGTCCCTTTTTCTCATTAGGTGGCCAATATAAAATTGATATAGCATAAATACTTCTTTTTTCAATAAAAATCAAGTACTTTGGGAAAATCAAAGTCCCTTAAAATATTAAAACTTTCAACTTTGATTATCCAGCTGAGATGTTATTTACATCCTCTGTGAAATTAAATTGATAGTTGCACCTGGCTTTTCTGTCTGAGTTTCTGTTTGGAAGGAATGATGTGCACACATTCAGGGACAGATATTCTTTTTTAAAGACTAATTCTCAGCTTGTCCATTAGTAGAAATACACAGTGATAGCAGCAGATTTCTTTTTATTTATTTGTCATACTTATATACCACTAAGAATCTTTCTCTGGATAATATGAAGAAAACATATTTCTACTATTTTTTATATTTTAATTCTTACTGAAAAAATAAAGACACAATTTTTAAAAACTTACCCTGTCACTCATTAATAAGTCTTTAACAATGAAAGTGGCTACCAAAGATTTCAATGGAGCAGCAAACTGATCAGGTGCCAACAAGGCTATGTGGCCAATGGAAACCAGAGGTGTAATCAGATGTTCAAGATTGCTTGGATCAAGACTCTTATGCAGTGGCTAAAACATAAATAAAAACATTGGATAGTAAATGTTGAGATCAATGTGCCTTTAACTAGCAACTTAAGGCAAAAAATTAAAATAGTTTCCATTGCTGGAAACAATGAACTGAATTTGCTACTGCAGTCCAAGTGTTCTTCAGGAACAGCATTTTAAATATGTTAACATGCGGGCTAACTTGCTTATTTTCTGGCACACTTCACAGAATAAATCAGTTACTAAAAGGACTCAGAGAAATAGAAAAGCACTATATACTTAAAACATTATTAATTATTAATATATTCATTACCTCAAATATCTGTGCAAATTGTGTTTCTTTGCTGGAAAATATTGCATGGATGCAGTGAATGGCATACTTGGCTTGACGAGGTGGTCCTTTTTTAGCTTTATGATGCAAAACAGGAAGCAAAGCTCTGAAATCACAAAGTTCATTTTTTAAGTGTAAATGTGCAACATAAAGTCGATATGAAGAGATAACTGTTATAAACGCAGCAGTTCAAATGTTCTAGGTTTTTTTTTTTTTTGCAAAAAGGTGTGAATGAAGCCTATATATACATACAGATTTTTTTGTAATTTTCATCTATAGTCATAAAACTCAGCTCTTCTCCTGAATGCCAATAACAACCCAGCAAGCCAAAAATATCTCAAAACACAAATGAAGCTTTCATATTTCTTTGAATATATTATAGGTATATGGAAGTGTTGTAGTTTTGTACTTCCAGTAACCAATCTTCAGAATTGTCTCTAGTTTCTCAGCATAATTCCATATATGCACAGGAAACATTTCATTTTTTATTAAAGTTCATAATTAGCCTTTCTAAAAGGACTTTTATTCTAGGCAGTTTGTATGTAAGGAGTACCACTAAAGACTATGAGAAACCCAGCAGTGCAAGCCACATGACCAGAGCTTAAAAATAAAAATCAAACAATTTAAGGTGAGACATGTTATCTATATCTACACCTATAAACATCAGTTCAGTTTATTTTGATGTGTGCATGTGCAGATGCACACATGGGCATACGTGCACATGGGTGAAAAGCAATGGATGATTCAACTGATTTCTTTTCTACATCTCTTCTATTGTGAAAAGATGTAGCGATTTCTAGGTCCAATCTGAACAATACTTTCTGTCTGTTTTCAGTCAATGCATTGTGGTGAAGTAAGATTTCATTTGCCTGGCATGCCAGTTCTGTTGGAAATCCATGTATAAATGTAGTGTTTCAATATGATAGTGCATGCTTCAGATCCAATTTGTTTTGGAAAAGGATTGTGCAAACTGGTCCTTAGGAAAGTAAATATCCATTCAACTGAAGTATATATGTATTTCATGGTCTGGGTCTATGAATGGTGTTCTCTAAGTACAAAGATTATTTTCAAACATTAAGTTGAATGCATAATAAGCAAGCAAGGAAGGGGTAGGGTAAGTGAATGTGATTCCATTCCTGTATAAAAGTACAGTTTGAATGCCTACACACACACACACACACACACACACACACACACACAAATAATTGTAGTAGAAAGTAATGATACCACTAAGACTTCGCTAGAGTGGCAGAAATTCTCCTTTGAGAAACTGCATGACTATACACTTTTCTAACTGCAATTTACTAAAATTAATCAATGAAAGTAAGCCCTATGAAAATAAATGTCATTTCATTACTGACTTCTGAAAGAGGTAAATTCTGCCCAGTATTCCTAAAATGTTATTTAGTATACAGAATGCCTGACAGTACAGTCTTTAACTCACGATCGGATGTGTGGAAAGTCCTCCTCAATTTTGCTTCCTGTGTTCTTGAAAATTTGCAATGCAGCTTCAGCTACCTTTTCATCATCCATTTTCAGACAAGCCAGGAGGGATTCAAAAGTTTCAGCTGAATGGAATGAGATAGGGTGTGTAAACGAAAGCACCTGCAAGAGTAAGTAACAAGGTCTTTTTAAAGTTTCTCACTTTACCCATGCAAAGGTACTATTGCATAGCTATATTACTCAAGTCAGTTCTGAAGTCATTTTAAAAGTACCAGGATAAACAGAGAAGTCCCCAGTTTTTTTTTAAAAAATGCAACTTGCCAGCACTCCAAATTATAACAAAAGCTGTTAGTTGTATGATTAAAATGCACAAAGAATACATAGCAAGATGAACTTGAACACAAATGTTAAGTTCTTCACTTGACTTCAAATATGTTATAGTTATAAAGCAACTGCAGCCTAAATATTGTTAACATTGTCAAGCTTGTTTTTTGCTTTAGACCAAACCAACAAAAACAGCCCAGCTTCCATTTTCAAATTACTCTATCAGATTTACAGCAGAACAAAGCAATTATGGTTTTACTGCTCACAAAATTATAGGGTTTGCTCTCAGCAACAGTCCATGGATTAAATAACCTGCAGGCTACCAGGGATAAACAGGATGCTGTCTCCTATGTGCCTGCCATTTCTTTTACTCAACAACCTATGATCAAGCCCATTCATAGCCTGTTCAGATTGACAAGTCAACCTTGGGCATTAGGTCATTTAGGAGCTAAACATAACAACAGTGAACCTATTATTTGTTGCAAGCGGTATACCAGGTCTCTTTTATTCATGCATGACAACCTATAAGTCAAACAACCCACTGGCTACCATGCACGAGTAGGAAAGCTCAAGTGCATTGCCTGCAAGAAATCAGGAGTCAGCTGCTAAGTTAGTCTCTAAATGATCCAGTGTTGTTACATAAGTCACTACATGCAAACTAGTCACAGTGTTTTAAGGTTTTTCAATCCAGGGAAAACAGCTAGAAAGGTACTAAAATATCTTCTGCATGCTACTGATGAGATAGTAATCTACTGCCATAAAAGCCACTGAAGACTGAGATGACTTCCCAATTCTTCCAGCCTGGATAAATGTCACAGTTGCAATAAGAATTTTGTTGAAAAAGGCAATTGTTACTGCCAATGTTGAAGAAATATGTGAAGGATTAAAATGAGTCAAATGTCTATGTGCACACTCTGAGGATTCCACAGTCAACGACTTTTTCTGAGACATATGATTTCTGGGGACTTGTAAACTGCTTTTTCACTTTTGGGGCAGAGATGTGCCCTTGTACACATGGACTAATTCACATTAATACTAATGTAATAGCATATGCATAATGAAATTCCCAATCTAAAAAAATGATTCCATCAATGAACAAACAACCAAATGAAATGTACCAGACATACAGCAAAAAGCAGACAAAAGAGAAGTACCAAAACCTGTACATTCCTAATTGACTGAAATCCCTATCTCCAAGTAAATGGAGCAGTATGACCTTGAGGAATGTCAACAGTATACAAATGAGAGTATGGAGTTACAATATTTTGTGAACTCCCCAGAAAGCTTCAGTTATCGGTGGTATAGAAATGTAATGATGATGATAGCTCAGTTCATACAATTTGCAACTGCCATCAGCCCCACCCAGCACAGCCAATGCTCAGGGGATGTGACAGATGCAGCCCAGAACACATAGAAGGTACCACACTGCCTACCACTTAGAAATCATTTCAACAGGTTCCATCACCCCTGCAGAGGTTAGAGGCTGCTGGAAGTTTAGACCTAACCACACAATAATCTGTGAAAAGGGAACCATGTAAATCCCCCCTCCGAAATCACCCTCTTAACTATCACCAAAGCTGAAGCAACTTACTATCAAGCTTAGCGTACAGGGTTATGTAACAAAAAGTTTATGATTTTTCTGCTATTGGGTTTCGTGACTGTAAGTAATCTAGACAATTCATATGAACTCTGTTAAGTAATACAGTATGTGCATGCAAGTATTTCCTATAAATCTGTTATTGTACACATTTGGTGATACCTGCAATATTTTGTGCTGAGTTTCACTGGCAACTTTTGTCTTGATAGTCTTTTCCTACTGAAGATGACTTCAAAACAGAGATAATAACTGCCACTCTGTCTATAGTTACAAGACACTATATATTGGATAACTAGGTTTCAATGTCATGGCAAACAACCCTGCACTACTGCCACAGCACCAGTCAGAGATTATCATGTGGTTCCCTGGACAACATAATTTCCAAGCTCTCTGCTCTGTTCTTCTACTCCAACCATACACCCAAACAACCCCCTTCCTTACTCTATTGGTCCCTACAAAATTTAGCAGTTTTCAAGAATCTGGGCCCAGATGACCAGAGAAACCACAGTGAAGCATGGAAACCCTAGAACAGACTGATAGTTCTCTCAGTGGTTGTGGGAAACCATGCAGAAGTTCCATGACTGTGTCCAGCAACCGAACAGATCAACAATTATAAGAAATCACCATGGCTTCTTGTGATGTGTGAATCCAGTCAATATCCAAATATGTCTCTTTGCAATACATGCGTATGTTTTATTATACTTGTGTATTTGTTAAATACACTTTATAGAAGAATTGGTTTTTCTTTTGCTATTTGAATTGAGGAGTGCTTGCTTGACATTCTGCTTTCACAAACTTGACCTTCTCACTCTTATTGGCTTCATTAACTAGTAAGATTCCCAGGAAGGTTTTTCTAAAAATAAGGTAAAAGCTCTCAATATTAACATCAGAAAAAATGTTATCACAATAGCACTTGTCACTAAATCAAAAAGGATCTTTACCTTAAGCAATTCAAGACCAGCTCTGATTGCTTGATCAGTAGGTACACCTTCATCTTCATCATCCGCTGTTCCATCTATAGATTTGTTCACTTGTTTAATCAGGGCACTAGCAAAGAAAAATATCAAAATTAATCACCAATCATCTCATAAGCCATAACTAGCATTGCTGGGTGACTATGAGCCAGTTACTCACTCTCAGCCTCAGCAACTTCATGTAAGAGTGTAAGAAACATATGCATATAATCATAAACATATATAATACTAAAGTATTATGACATATTAATTTGTCTGTTTCTATAGCACATACTATACACTATTAAAATTGCTCCCCACTTGAAACTGAAAAACAGTACTCATTATGACATATACTACCATGTATATGATAGTACCTGGTATATGGTATATTTTAATTCACATTTTGTAAACTCTTCTGAGAGCATTCGCTAATTGACTAAATATCTATAAATAATAATATAGCTAAACAACTATGAGAATAGATCTGCTACCTTAATGGACTGTATATTACTTTTATATTTTTCACAGACATACACCTAGCAAAATGTAAGCATAATGCTTGCAAAAGCTTCTAATCATAAAAATAGTATTTCTAGTAATTCAGATTATATTTATTTCAAGCAATTATCAGTGATAAGAACTTAGTCACATTTAGATTTTTGACAATTCATTTGCAACAATTCTATTGTAAGGACATAAACCTTCCTGACTTCAGCTGACTGGGTTTTTTTTTTAATAATCAGTTATAACTGATCAAAACCTTCCATTCAATCTCCCATTCCATTCATTGGTATCCCAATCTGATATTTTGTCAATAACAGAGGTTGAGGAAATTGAACCTGTTTTTAGTGTTTTGTAGGGGATGGGATGCCACTACCTTAGAGGCAGGCAATGGCTGCCTCCTTCTGTTAACTTAAGTATTCTTAACTGTAAGTATGCAGGAAACTGCTAGTGGCAAGAGCTGTGCTCTTCTGGGTGGTTAGCTTTTCCCTCTCTCCACTTGAAACACCCACAGAATTATCCTTCATACAAAATCCTCCACATACAAAATATGTAACAATTATCCTGGGAAATTTGGGGTGGAGAAATCAATGCCATTAAATATCCAGAAGAACTCTGCTCTTGCATCTAGACAAGAATATAGAAAGGAAGCTGCCACTGCTGCCATAATCACTTAACTCCAATAAAACTCTGCGATTATTTGACCCCCAACTCCAAAACTGCCTGAATTCACAGCTCCTTGTAATGAAAGCTAGTAAAGGTTAAATTTTGGCAATTTTATCTCAAGTCTAGTAATAACCAGCAAAAATATAAGCATTAGGAGAGAAAGAAACTAAACATCTCAGTAATATTCGTTTCAATACAGAAACTAAAACATTTCAATAATACTCATTTCAATATGGAAATGAAAATGTGTACCTGATAGATTCTGTATCAATGTGCACTGGAGCTATCCTCTCCAGAAGGAACTTTATCATTTCAAGGAATGGGTTTGTAGGTTGTTTGGGATTGCCTAACTTCTTTGTAATTTCTCTCTGCAATATTCATTGTAAAAATATTAATAAACAGACAATTCAATAAACAAAAATCAGTTATATTTTAAAATCCATTCTTACCACACATCCTTCAGCTTGTTTACAAGAACAAACTGGACTAACAAGTGTTTCTAGCTGGTGCCTTATTTTGTCATCATCTTCCAGAACCTGAGTGAATTTCTTCATGAAATCCTGTGCTTTGCCAGGGTCTGGCAAGTTCCCTTTAAAGAAGTAAAATAAAATTATGTTCAGTGGAGCTCTTAAGACCTTTTATAAAGGTGAGCTGCTAACCCTTTGAAAAGCAGTCAGATTGCATTGTGGATGGCATTCTTAGTGATGCAAACCAACACATCCTGATCCAACATCAATCTACCGGAGACATACCAAGGTACAAACTTGTAGATAAGTACACCTTCATAAGCTTAAGAATTACCTGAACTGAAAATAATGGCAGATTACCATTACCACCTATGCCTCAGTGTTAAAAATCAATTCAAAGTTAGAAGATTAAGGAAGCAGTGTTTGTTCAAGTATTAACCTTAAAACACTTACTTGTTATTACCATCACTTTTGAAAATATAGCTTTACTGCTGGCATCTGTCTGGAAATAAAGAGAAAAATCTTTTTAGGGATATATTTTTATAAAATAATCTATAGTGCTACATAATACACCAGCATTTCAGCAATAGGCAAGGTCATTCCAATTAATTAATTTAAACATTATTTTCAGGTAGATGCTCAAGAATGTAATTCGGCCCACATTTTGAATTGAGCCAACCTAGATTGAATTCTTAGATTCATAAATGAATCAAACAGTTATCCTGTTTTAATATGCTCAAATGTGATACAACTTACAATCAAAAAACATAAAAATGTGCATTGAAATGTTTATTTTACATCAAAGTAAGTACAAAACTATGTATTTTAAGAAAAAGTTGGTGCAGGAGTACATATTTTAGGGTTGTTTAGCTCTGTCCCACATTTCACCCATTACATTACATTTCACGCATTCCTGCGTCATTCACAACAAGCCACTGTTTAAAAAACTGTCAGCTGTTATGATCTGCAAACTGGGTTCAGTTCATTCATATTAACTGCTTTTTGGATAATGTGTCCATATGGGTGGCCGTTTTAAAAAAAGATCATGCAAGTCTACCAAATACTCCAAAACATGGGTAACTGATGCTGTAGCAACCAGTCAGTAGGCATAATAATATGCACTTTCAATTGTTTTCCACAGCTCACTTGATTGCATAATGATAAGTGAGCCAAAAATACTACTGCTTCACTTACTATAGAAGGTTGTTCCCTTTAAGTACACATTTAGTCAGAAAAATAAAAAATAATAATAGAGAAGTTACTGTATGGTAAATATGGAAAATAAATTACAGGAAAATAACAATAAAGAAAAGAATAGTAAGCAACAGTCTCATTTGAGCAACATAATTTCATGCAAATTTCAATTGCCACAACAAAAAATAAACTGATTTACAGAATTCAACAATACTCGATTTTGACATTTGACAGTATAATTTCAGTGCTCAGTAGAGTTATCAAATTTCTAATATTATATTGCTGTTCTCATTCTTCCTGTTCATACACAAAACAATTTTAGTTTATGGAAATTTTCTCCAATAAAAATGCAAAAACAGTCTGCCAATATCAGCTTTCCATATTAATTATATCAAGAACTTCCTATAACCAGAGAAATAGCAGCATATCAGAAATGGGTGAATTAGTCAAGGCTGAGGAATAACTGAGGACACAGCTTATATGACTGGTACCAGAGAGCAACCTGGAATTATTTAGCATCCCTCCCTTTCCCAATACATATAAACTATCATAAAACAATCCTTTTTAAAATCACCAGTTACTAATTCTATTGCTCACATTTTTCAGCCACTTGCCAAACAGGAAAATTAATATTTCTATACGTAATTATTAAAAGTTCTGGTACACAGTCCAGACCACAGAACAGTTCTTACAATTCAGAGCTATCATTAAGTTGGAATGAAATCCAATACTGCTCTTAAGTCTGTCAGGTTCTTTCTGCAAAGTCTTCCAGAGGATTAAGCACAAATGAGGCAATTTCTTGGAATTACACTCTTCTATTTCTTATCAAAAACGCCAGGCAGCATAAGGCACTGATTACCTGTCAGAATTCTGCATAATCTGTTTTAACATTTCTGTCACAGATAACTTATTTAGATTTAGAATTCTGTATCATATGTGCCTTCTGACCTGCCAACTGCGATTCTGCTACCTTAATAGCTTGAAAGATGTCAAACATTCCTGATTTTAATTTTTAAAAATTACCATTTCAGAGAAGCTATGGGAAAAAAGGGTCATTCTACATACCACCTTTTGTTAGTCTTATATAAAGGGAAATTGTCTTAAGCTGAGACAAAACAATAATGAAGCCTAATACAACAGGGGAATATTTTCCAACGTATCTGTGTACTGTACATGATAGCTATTCACCCACTAACATTTAAGTATCCAAATTTATATCAATATCTATGCATTTTTCCATGTGGTAAACCACAGAAGTTAAGGTTGCTTACTTGTAAATGATGTTCTTCAAGTGGTCATCTATACATTCACATATATGGGCTCTGTCCCTGTGCAGGACCTGTTGCCAGGAAGATTTCCCAAGCTAGATATGTTAAGGCGGAAATCCCTCACCTCCCTCTTCATGGTATGTCTAGGAGGAGCTTGAGCCAATTCCCCCAGTTCTCTTGAAACTGACACTGTGGGCTCAGAACTGAGGGAAAAGGCCAGTGAATGGCCGATCCATACCATCCCGATACAGATGCAAAGGAAAAACTATGGTAGTGAAGTGGTCAACACTGACATGGGATCAGTAGGTGGATTGTGTGAATGCACAAACAACCACTTGAAGAAGGTCAGTAACATGTAAGCAACCTTACTTTCTTCTTCATGGTCTCTGTATATCACATATGGGTGACTAGTGAGCTCACTCTGAGACAGAGGTGGGCAGGTATCATCAGTGGAGGACTGCCAAAAGGACCACTCAGCTGAAGGAGCAATCTTGTCTGACATGGACATCAAGCTGGTAGTGCCAGATGAAAGTCAATAGGGTATACCACCTTGCCATTCTGCAGAACTTGTGCAGTGAAATGCTGGCATGCAACACTGCAGACATCGTCAACGACTTGGTGGAGTGCACCCTCAGTCACTAAGGACTCTGCAGTCTGGACACCCAGTGTGATGTCCAATCTGGACATCAGTCTTTGTGAGCTGATCAGCTTGCCTCTGAACCATTCTCCATAAGTGAAAAAGAGTCTCTTGAATCAGCAGAAGGATGCAGTACAGACTGATAGAATGCCAACACCCTGCATACATCCACAGTATGCAGAACCAACTCCACCAGGCTGGCAAAGAACAATGCTCAATTGAAACTGTGGCACAACTTTTGGGAAGAATCTCTGGTTGGGCTGCAGAATCACCTTGTCCCTATGGAAAGTGAGGAATGGTGGATTGATATGTAAAGCACAAATTTCACTTGCCCGCCTAGCTTATGTGATTGCCATCAGGAAAGTAACCTTCCACAAGAGGAGGCATAAGTCCATGGTGAACAGAGGCTCAAAGGGTTGCTTCATAAGAGCCTGCAATACTGCCAACAGGCCCCATCCCAGCATGAATGAATGAGGGTGCAGGACGAGGCTATGCAGGCTTCTCATGAAGTGATAGAACAACAGAAGCGAGACACAGAGAAGTCTTCAACCTTCCCAAGGAACAATGATATTGCGGCCAGGTATACTTTAATGCAGGACAGTTTCAAGCCACTAGAGTGAAGAATATGGAGGAAGTTGAGGATCTGATGGATAACACCCAATGCAGATTGAAGGATTCCTCCCAGGCAAAGGATGAAGCACTCCATTTCACCAGGTAGGAACACTTCGTGTTTGGTCACAAGGCCGCATCCAGAATTGCCTGTATTCTAGGACAGAGAGGGATATTCCAATCTACGCCAATCCTCCATGCTGTGAAGTGGATGATACCAATGTTTATGTGCAGGATCATCCCTTAATCCCAAGAAATGTTGCCCAGACTTGACGGAAGCCATATGAAGTTGTGATTGGACAGGTGGAAGAGGTGGGCAAAACACACCTTCCAGAGCCACCGTGGTGTGATGAGAATGCAGAAGGTGCCCTCCCTCTGGATCTTTGCCAGCACTCTGGTGATCAGCAGGAATGGTAGGAACAGATAGAACAGAGTCCCTTCCCAGCACATCTCCAGCAAGCCCTGGCCAACCCCAGCTTGGGAGGAGAAGGCATTGCACATCACATTGGTTGATTTGGTGAAGAGGTCCATTAAGAGATACTCCAGGTCTGGAAGAGATGCATAAGGACTTCCAGGTGTAGCTCCCATTCGTGGGTCCCTCAGTCCTCCTGCTCAGAGCATCAGCCATGACATTGACAGTTACAGCCAAGTAGATGACCACAATGGTAATGCCTTTTTCAAGGCACCAGTCCCAGATCTGCAAAGTGCGGCGAGTCAGGGATGTGGACATGTCCTACCTTGCTTGTTCAGGCAGAACGCCACCATAGTGTTGTCTCAGGCAACCAGAACATGCTTACTCTTGAGGTGGAGCTGGAATGCAATCAGCACCTTATGGACCATGCAACCAAAGGTGGGCATGCATCTGCACTTGGTTAAGATTTGAGGGACTGTGCAAGGACTCAGTGGGAGCATGAAAAACTGATAGGCATCAGAAATTATCTACAACCAGAGGAAATGCAGGTAGTCCAGGTGGTAACATACTTCAATTTGATAAACGTAACCAGTCCCGTTGGTGCAGCAATGGCAGAAAATTCTGCAACAAGAACATGAAGAACTTCTTATGAGAAATGGAAGTGGCTATGTCCTCAGCCAGCACAGGAGAAGGCAGTGTTGAGCACATGGACCTGAATGGTGGAAGGATGTCAAATCTGATGCAATATCTGCTTTCCACAATGGAGAGATCCCACCGATCTGAAGTTATGGCTTCCTAGGCGAGATGTTGGCTGTAGCTGGCCCAGTGCCTTTCATGACTCCTTCATGGATGTGAGGAACATTGGAAGGAACAGAATGGCCACCAACACTGCACCCTCTATCTGGACTGTCACAGACTGGATCCATCAGTGATTCAGGGAGCTGCTATATCTTCAATTCAATCAATGCTGCCATCTGGAGGATCTGCTCAGGGAAACATCACAGGTTCTTGGAGGGGGATCCTGGTCCCTGCACCATAATGACATCATTGGGCAATGAGGCAAGCCAGTCCTTATGTACCGGCAAGTCTGAGTACAAGGTGAATCCTAGACCTGGAGACAGCGACTCCCAGTACGGTGATGAGGCAGGCACGTGAGGCAGGGTAGGTGACTGTGGTGCTGGAACTAGCATCTTGGGATCCTCTAAATGTTAGACCAGGGCTCCCTACTGCAAGAACTGAGGGTCAATGGCGCCTCTCTCCCCTGGGTAGGTGTGGTAGAAATGCAGCAGTGGTGGCATTCAATGTGCAGTCCAGCTCCAGGTTGGAATGTTCCTCCAGCCTGTGGCTAAAGGATTGAGACAGTGCAGGAGAATAGGCAGCTCCATGTAGCACAGGGCTGGCAGACGGGCCCATTGGTGGCAACACTGGCAGTTGCTCCTGATGTGGGGAAAACAGCACTCTTGTTGGGCAGATCACCAGCTGCAGGCAGGTCAGAGTATGGAGTGGTGAGTCCCAGAACTCTTTTTCAGAGACAGACTGGGTCCCTGCCGTTTCCATCACTGGGATGGGTTAAGACATTACATGAACTGGTGTTGGTGCAGACAGCACCAATGAAAGGTTGCCCAGGATCCTCACCTGACATTTTTCCTCTACACAGGTGTGAACTGCATGGATGGGTCAGCCAATGGAGCCCCCAAAGCTGCCAATGGAGGACAGGAAGGGGAAACCACCTGTGAGATGGACCAGCCAAAGTCAGCCCACTTAGTTTTTCTGGGGCTGCTACATGGGTGCCTGGCAGTCCTCACAGGTGCAGTACTTCTCTCCCAAGCAAAAGAGACACAACAAGTGCCAGTCTATGGGAGGTAAACAACCCTCACAGCAGACACACTTACAAAATGGTGCCTAGGAAGGTAGTTTTTAATTATATATCTCGATATGTGACAGAGTGTAATGAGGGATAAAGTGGAGTTTTTGAAGAAAAAGCAAAAACAGAGAAAATGAGGGAACAAGATATAGAAAAAGACTGATAGAAGCCAATATAAACACTGAGAGATCACAAGAGGAAAGACCCAAGGTACCTACAATGGAGGTCAGAAGAGAACTGGGAAAAATGGTGGGAGCTCCTCCTAGATATACTTGTAGGAAGGAGGGGAGGGGCTCCTAGCAGAATGAGTCTAGCCTGGAACCTGCAAAACTTTCGGGTTGTTTTGATTGCAAAGTTTCATGTTATCATCAATAAAATGTGCATAACACAGGACATAGCCCAATCTTCTTTGTTCAGACATCAACATCCTGAAGGTAGCTTTGCTGATCAACTGACTGAAGTCTGCCTTGCAGTCCAAGTCATGCTATGCATTGACATAAATTGATGCTAAATGTATTGAAAGCTAGCTACCATCTTGCATCTTGCAAACACTTTCCTCCTTGTAAGTAAACCTAGATCTTGCTTATCATTTCCTTGGAATCTCAAAGAAGTCTCCCAGCCCACTGCAGGGGGCTAACGAGGGGGAATACAGATGTGAGGCAGGCAGCTCCAGGGGAGAGAGTTTTCCATGCAGTGGTATTCTGGCTGTGGAATTCATTCCCTTGGTGCCTAGTATCTCCTTTAGCATCTTTTCAACTTCAGGTTAAGATCTATTTTTCTCCCAGTCCTTTAAGCAGCCCATGACTTTAGTGTTCTGCTTTGGTTATTCTCTGTTGGAAATTTTTATACTGAAAATTGTTATTTTCATTATTTTATACTTTCAATTGTATTTCTAAATGTATATTGTAAGCCAACAATGTTAATGGGAGGCCTTACATTAATATAGTAAATAAAGCAATCTAAAACAGCAGCCATCACCACATCTTTTGACACCAAATTGCATTATGTGTTGTGTAAAAGATCTCTCTCTTACATCTACTGTCCATCAATTTAATTCAGTGATCCCAAAGTCTAGTACTGAGAGAAAGAAAAATGTTTTCTAAGTTTCTATTATGTTTTTAGGGTACAATCCTATGCATGTTTAGAAAGAAAAAGGTGGAATTATTAACCCTTTTTTCCGCCTAAACATGCATAAGATTGTATCTTTAATAATCAGTACTCTTCCCTTTACTCTCTAAGTTTCTTTGGATTTCTCAATTTTTAAAACATATTCTAAGTTTCTTTGGATTCTAAAGACTTTGTGAAAGCAAGAGTAGTTGCACATTAGAAAACTAATCTTTGATATGTGGGATTTCTACCCAACACACAGAACTCTTATTGGTGAAATGGGGAAACACACACTTGAAAAACCAGCAGCAGGTAAGTCCTTGTCCAAAAAGTGGCAGCAAAAAAAAAAAAAAATCTAATGAGCATTAGAGAAGTAGTATTCTCATCAGCTCATACAGAGATGTAACCATAACTACTGAAGGCATCAGAATAATAATAGTTTTTCCATGAGAAAGGAAGAAAAGATGTTACTTAGGAAGAGCTATAAACCACCACAGCTCCAACACCAATATGTTGGATTAGCTTTGAAGGAACCTGAAATGAAGACTTTTTGCCTCCATGAAGTTACAAATCTCTTTATTATGGTTAGGCAGAAAAACCAAAAAGCTTCAGAACCACAAGGGGGAGCTTTTTCAATAAAAGTGTCAGAATTTCAGAAAGCCATAAGAGGATGTTCATTTCTTTAACTGCTCAGAAGCCAGTTATCATGCAAGCTGACTCTGTTAAATTTTTAAAGTAATGCCTCTATAATTTTATCCCCTTTTTTACACCAACTCCACATTCCCTGATGTTTTAAACCAGTATCAGCCTTTCCCAGCCTCCAAAGATGGTGGAATGCAACTTCATCATTCCCAAGCAGTATGGCCTGTTCAACACATTGCAGTCCAATACAATTAACTAACAACAGGCTGGGTAAGGCTGCTAAAAATGAGAATCAACATTCATTTCTTCTGTTCAAGCTCCTTTCTTTTGTAACTCTTACTAATTTGTAAGGAGGATGCATTTACAATAGAACTAAAGAGAGAAAGAAGATATTCTTTGTTAAGTTTATATGTATTTACTCCCTCCATTTTTATATTGCCATTCCTCCAAGGAACACAGAGTGATATACATGGTTCTTCCCCCTCTGGCCCCCATCATAACCACGCTATAAAGTGGTTTAGTTTGAGCAATAGAAATTTATCCAAATCCACTTATTAAGCTTCATGGATGAATCACGATTTAAATCTGAATCTCCCTAATCATAGTCTAACCATATTTACTTATACAACTGTAGAGTTTCACATAATTTGCCTCATTTCAAATTAAAGTATCCCTTACTGGAGGTTTTTAGAATCAATTCACCATTTAAACCATCTCTGTACTTCCTCTGATCCTAATTTGCTAAAATGCTTCCAAATACACATTCTGTGAAATTTAGTACAGAAATATTTAAATGTTAAGCTATCCCAGATAAAATGGTTGTCCACAGCCAATTTTTGCTTTTTAAAAAAATTTCCTAGCTGCTCTTTTCTCACTTCTGGACCTTGCTTTTACCTTCATCATTGACTTTGCTGTGTTATGATTCATTCGTTTACAAACCTGTTTATTTTTTTTAAAACTTCCTTTTTGTTCCCTTATGAAAAGCAAGTTTTTTTAAGCTTGCTATTTTCCTAGAATTCCCTCATCTTGTGGTAATTGGATAACCATTGTTTTAGGATAATGTGGTATGTATTAACATTTGGAAGCACAATTGTTAAAAATTTACATTTTTTAAAGAGATGCCAATTTAGGAAGTTAATACTGACTTTATTTATACAAGAATTAAATATAAATATACTCATTAAACATATTAAGGAAATTAACTTACTTTTGGCTGCTTGATTAAGTCAACCAAATCCTTCACTTGGTGCCGCAGCAGATTTTGACATTTCCACATTTCATTCAATGCCCTGACAGTTAAACAACAATAATAATTGATATAGCATCACTGCAATTTGCTAAACTGTTATAATTTTATGCATAGTGAAAAACTGGAAAAAAGTTTAGCTAGCCAGGGGCCTCCAGACCTAATTAACAAGTGATCCTTTTCTCAAAAACTGATATAAAACCTTTAGCTATTGTAACAAACTCAGCTTTACAATAAGAATAAAATTACAAAGTTGTACACCTAAATAAATACCAATCAAATCTTTCCATGTCAACAAATTTATCCTGATTTCATCAAAACATTTCATAGTGTTGCCTGTATTATAGCTATCTAAACAGCTGTAAAAAGGCTAATGTGATTTTAGGCTGCATTAACAGAACTATCATTTCCAATAATCTTCAAGCAGAAACTAGGTAGCCATTTAGTCTTGGAGTTCCTGTCTTGAGCAAATGGCTGGACTAGATGGGGTAAAATGTAATCTCCAACTCTTTGAAATTGTAGTGCAGATGTTTCATGAATGCATAATTTGAAAATCAGAATGAACCTCTGAAGCACATTTATGGTTAGTGAAGAAATATGGTTTCTTTATAAAACATAATTTCAAACTATGTGCTGGATCCAAACTTAAATATCCTGTTTAGGTTGAGCAAAAGTAGCTTGTGGAGCCCACTTAATAAAAGCAGGTTGCTTACCTGTAACTGATGTTCTTCGAGTGGCCATCTGTGCATTCACACATATGGGTGCTCGCCTGCACAGTGCCTAGGCCGGAAAGATTGAAAGCTAACGGTTTTGGTGGAAAAACTCCGCTCCCCTCCCACCTCGGTAGTATATATAGAGCGGAGGGTGGAAAACCATGCTTGATGAGGCCATCAGGGTGCTATGAGTATTCCTGTAGCATCGTCGTGCACAATCTTCGAAACGACTTTCGTCAGTAGAGGAATAGGTGGGAATGCGTAAAACCTGAGATTTGTCCATGGGATCATAAGGGCATCTCCCATCGATCCCGGTCCTATTCCCACCCTGGAGCAGAATCTTTTGCACACCTTGTTTTTGTGGGTAGCAAATAGGTCAATGTCCAAATGTCCCCAAAGCTGGAATAACTGTATGCAGACATGATGATTCAGTTCCCATTCGTGGATGAGTGACATGTGTCTGCTCAAGGTGTCTGCTTCCTCGTTTTCGGTCACGGCAAGATGGACCGCCAAAAGGGTTATACCCCTCGGGATGCACCATTCCCAAATGTCCATGGACAGGCAGGCCAGAGCAGTGGACTTTGTTCCGCCCTGTTTGTTGATATAGAATACCGCCACTATGCTGTCGGACGTGAGCTGTATCACTTGATGGCGAACAACTTCCTCGAAGGACCAAAGTGCCTTGAAAATCGCTAGAAGCTCGAGGTAATTTATGTGACTCAATGACTCTTGGTGGTTCCACATGCCTTGGGATCGAAGCCCCGCGCATACCGCACCCCACCCGACCAGCGAAGCATTGGTATATAGGGTCAGCGTTGGGTGAGGGGTGATGAAGGGGGTCCCCACGTTTAAATTGGCTGGGGTCATCAACCAAGTCAATGTTTGTACAACAGCACAGGGCATACGAAGTGGTTTGTTGGGCAAATCTCTTTGTGGCCGAAAGTTCTTGTTGAACCAGAGTTGAAGAGGATGGAACTTCAACCTGGCATGTGGGACAATCGCGACTGTGGCAGCCATATGACTCAAAAGTCTCTGGACTGAGAGCGCTGTAACTACGTTGTTTTGTCGGATCCAAGAAATACACAAGCAGAGGCTGTCCTGATGAGGCGGGAGGAACGCCCTTGCTATCATGGAATCGAGATGAGCTCCGATGAAGTCTATCACCTGTGTATGGACAAGGGATGATTTTTCACTGTTAATACAAAGTCCAAGATTGTCCAACAGTGTGCAAGTAACCTCAACGGCTGACAGTAGGCTTTCACGGGTCTGTGACACTACAGGCCAGTCATCCAGGTAAGAGTAAACTTGGATGCCCTGAAGTCGAAGATGTGCACACACTGGTGCCATACATTTCATGAAGACCCTCAGAGCCGTGGCCAAACCAAACGGGAGGACATTGAAATTGTATATGTCGGACCCAACAGTGAAATGCAGAAGACACCTATCACTTGGATGGATCAAAATATGGAAATAGGCATCCTTTAAATCAAGGGAGGCGAACCAATCCTCTCTCCTCAGCAGTGGAAGGATATTTTGGAGGATAGTCATCCGAAATTTCTTTGGTTTGATAAATTTGTTGATATTTCAGAGGTCCAAGATCGGACGAAGACAACCATCCCGTTTCGGGACCATAAAATACCTAGAATAGAATCCATGAAGCCCTTCGGAACTGGAAATCCGTCGAATCGCACCCTTAAGAAGCAGTTGGTGTACTTCGTCCACTAGCACTGGAAAGCGCGGTGTAAATCGAATCGGGCTCGATGAAGGAACGGTATTGAATTCTATTCTGTATCCAAGCTGAATAATAGACAGGACCCACCGATCAGATGTGATAGAATCCCAAATGGGGAGTCAGTCTTGCAGCCGTTCCCCAAAAGGGAGAGGGAAAGCTGGGTGTGGAGGTGGAGGAGAGGTTCGCCTGTCCCATCAGCGCTGACACTTCTCCGTATCGAAACGTCGGCGGTTCTGTGGGAAACGCTGATGGGGTTATTGCCTTCTGCGTTGCAGCTGTTGTTGGTACTGTCTCTGCGGTGGCTGGTAACGGTAGGATGGGCACGACCATGACCACTTATGTTTCTGTTGTCCAGGCAATTCCATCCATCTTGCCATCATCTGGGATTCATGGATGGATTTTAGCTTATGATCGGTGTGCGAATGAAAGAGCCCGGAGCCATCAAAGGGCATTTCTTCTACTTGCCGTTTCATCTTGTCAGGGAAATTGCAGTCCCACAACCAGGCATGCCTTCGCAGTGAAACGGCCCCCATGAGAGCTCTCGAGTCCGTATCCACATGGTGGTGTGCTGTGGATAATTGCTGTATAGCGACTTGCATACCCTCTTTAATGAAAGTCCTAGCCAGATCCCATTGTTGCTCAGGTAGGGGAGCGACGATGTTATTCAGCCTCTGCATAATAAAGAATTGATACCTGGCCAGGGTGGCTTCATAGACAGACATACGAAGCCCAAGTCCTGCAGCCGCATAGACCCTGTGCGCCAAGGTATCAATCTTGCGACGCTCCTTGTCTCTGGGGGTGGTATGTCCTCTGGCTTCCCTGCCCTGGGATGATTCAACCACCACAGAGTTCGGCTTAGGGTGATGGAGTAAAAAGGGTGTATCGCTTTCTCGGACTCGATACATAGATTCATATCTTCTTACTGTGGGCTGAGTCTGCGAAGGCAAGTCCCAAGGTTGCATCATTGCCTGCTGCAAAGTTGTAATAAGCAGTAAGACAACTGCAGGTGATTGCTCTCCCCTGACAATGTCGTAGAACTTGTCAGTGCTCGGATCTGGCTGGTGTTAAGCCTCGATCTCGAGAGACCAAACAAGTCTAGACATGAGCTCCCCAAACGTGATGTGGGGCTCTTCAGGCGATGATGCTCCCTGAGATGTAATAAGGCCATCCAGGGAGATGGAATCAGCATCCGAGTTGGAGTCGGGCCCGAGGTGATATGACTCTGACAAGGAGGTCCCTTATGAAGTGGGGCGTTTGGGTTCGACCCGCCTAGAGATGGATGACATATCCTCATGGGCGGATGGCGAGGAACGGTCCTGTGGGTGAGGATGAAATCCAAAGGAGTGGTAGTCCTCCCAACCCAATGGGTAGCTGTAGTAGGGCTGGAACCATCCTTCTTTCCGCCTCTCATCCAGCTGGGACCCAGGTGGTGGTGATGGAGATTGGTCTCGGGCTCTCGCCGTGGGCATAGGAGTCAGAGAATGAGCCCTAGGAGAGGAGTCTTGAATCTCCCCATCGGATATCAATTCGTGATGCAGCTCCTCAGGCAGTTGAGCAGGTAGGCCCTGTTGTGGAGCAGGTAGTATTGGAGACCCTGGTGGGGTAACCTGCATCGCCGCTTGAAGCATCGGTACCGATGGTGTTGGTACCGAAGCTGCCGCCGGGATCAATGGTGCTGTCGAACCTGAATCCCTATGCCTCTTCTTATGGGGTGGTTTAGCCACCTTGTCCTTCTTCGCCTTCTTATGGGCTGAAGATTGTTCCGATCCTCCGTGCTTCCTCTTTTCCCGTTGTTTACGTGGGGAAGAAAGAGATTGCTGAGCCCCGGAGGGGGAATTTCCATCATCCGATGGATGCGGCTGAGGCATAGGCGAAGGGCATTGTCCAGGCATGCCCAAGGCAGAGGCTGGGCGTTGAGCCGACATGGACAAAGCTACGGCCTTGCGCTTAGCAGATGGAGCATGCACTGGCCCGGGCTTTACTGCAGGTTGATCTGATTGCATCAGCGCTTGGTCCCATAGGAGTTTTCACAATTGGTTCTATTTTTTCACGCTCGCTTAGTAAAAGCAAGGCAATGGCAGCATTTATCCGTCCTGTGCCCCTTGCCAAGGCAAAGGAGGCACAAGTCGTGAGGGTCCACCGGGGACATTTTGGACCCACATTCCGCACATTTGCAGAAGGCCGCCCGCTGCGCCATCGCAGAAACAGAAGAATTAGAATATAGGAAAGAGGGAAAAGTAACATTTTTGGGGTTTTTTTAATACAGGAACAAAGAGAAAAAAGGAGAGATAAAGCTGTAACAAGGGAATGATAACTTGGAATAAGAGCAAGACTGTTAGAACAGTAGAAACAATGAACAATACTGAGTCAAGTGAGAGATGAACAGGCACGAGGCACAGTGAACGGTGGTCGCAAAAAACTGGAGAAAATGGCGGACACTCCGCTCTATATATACTACTGAGGAGGGAGTGGAGCGGAGTTTTCCCGCCAAAACTGTTAGCTTTCAATCTTTCCGGCCTAGGCACTGCGCAGGCGCAGCACCCATATGTGTGATGCACAGAGGCCACAACGAAGAACATTAATAATCAAGATCTGAATCCTAGTCTGACCATAATTACTCTAACACTGAAGGGTGAAACCAACTAAGAACTAGAGAAGGTGTCCAGAGGTTTGGGGTTCAGTGCCACCAGTATGCTGATGACACCCAACTCTATTTCTCTTTTCCATCTCATTCTGAGGAAGCTGTGTCAGTCTTAAATCAGTGTTTGTTGGCAGTAATGGACCAGATGAGGACAAACAAATTGAAGCTTAATCCAGACAAGACAGAAGTGCTCCTAATCATTTGGGAGGCAGACCAATAAATAGAAATTCAGCCTGTGCTGGATGAGGTTACACTCCCCCTGACATAGGTTCACAGCTTGGGTTTACTTTTGGATTCATTCCTAAGTCTGGAAGCCCAGGTCTTGGTGACAGCCAGTACTGCATTTGCACAGTTAAAACCTGAACACCAGCTGTCCCTATTCCTTGAGCACTCTAATTTGACCACAATGACACATGCCTTAGTTACAACCTGTTTGGATTACTGTAATTGCACTTTGTGTGGGGCTGCCTCTGATTCAGCTGGTTCAGAGAGCTGCTGCGAGACTGCTGACTGGGGTTGGCTACACGGAGCATATAACTCCTCTGTTGAAACAGCTTCACTGACTCCCAGTCTGTTTCCAGGAACAATTCAAAGTGCTGCTGATGACCAATAATGCCCTATATGGCTTTGGGTCCAGGCTATCTGAAAGACTGTATGTTTTCCTATGAGCCTGCATGGAATCTTCTTGATCTTCTTGGGAGACTCTTGCATTGGTTCCACCACCCTCACATGCACATCTGGTGGGAAAATGGGAAAGGGCCTTTCTCAGTGGCTGCCCCAAGGCTCTGGAATACCTTTTTTAGGGAGACTAGGTTGGTGCCTTTCCTGTTACATTTCCATAAGCAGGAAAAAACCTGTTCCAACAGACATTTGAGAATGCCCTGTGAGTTTACACTGGATTAGTTTTGCTATTTATATTTTTGTAGTGTTTTTAATCTGGGTATTGATTCAATTTTAATGTTTAATTTATTTAATTATATTTTAATACTTGTATACTTTTGAATGTTTTAATTGAATTAATTTTAATGCTGTGAGCCTCTTTTGAACTCCAATCACCAAGAGTAGGCAAGATATAAATCTTTCTTGCTCCAACTAACTTGCTTGTCAGCTTTTGGCTACTCAACGTATATCAGAAGTGAAAAGAAAAATAAAATGGGTCCAGTAGAATGTTTTTATATATAAAAACTGTGTCGTCAGTTTGTTTCCAAAAACAGCTACCAAGTTTCTAGACAGTTCCACTAAGAATGCCATTTATGTTTTCTATGCAAAGGTGTGAAGATCTCAATAGAAATATCATGAACAGTAAAAAGTATACAGAGAATGTTACAGAAATAACTAAGGCCTCTTTCAAGAAATAATGACAGAAATTTACACTGGTTCACATGTGTGCCTGAACCATGCTTTAGCACTACACAAACAAGATGGAATGAGACAGAATTATGCCTGTTCGCCTCTGATTTTACAGGACAAATAGATTCAGGATTTCACTAGCATTTTGTTTCTTGTTCCACTACCCCAGCGTGCTGTTATGTACAAATTAAAGGGACAATAAGCAACACTTTGCAGAAAGCCACCTTTCTCATTATAAGTACCCCTCCCATAGGTATCCCAAGTGCTATTTGCAGGAACCCTAGCAATATCTTAGTAAGAAAAGGAAGGATTTCTTGCCACTTTTGACAAGCACCTCTATAGTTGTTTGGCTTATTGTAGGACCATCTTGGTTCAGACAATACAGCAACCACAAGGCCAACAAACAAGCCATGAGCTGCTAAAGTGGGTTACAGGCCAAAAAGGTGAATATACATCAGCCCAAATAACTCATGGCAGTTTTTCATAACACAATTCAGTTACTGTGCTTTAAAACAAACCCTGCTTATAAACCATAGTTTGAAACTGGTTTGATTAGAAATGAAAGACAGAATTAGTGGAAAACTAAGTGCAAGTGAAGAGGGGGAAGTGCATGAATCCATCATGGTTGCATCATTCCAGCTTGTGCATGTAGCTCTAAACCATGGCTTAATATCAAGTGTGAAACAGGCCCCTATTATTCATTTCTACACCATAGTTGAAGTTCTTTGGGCAGTATACCCCAATTTCAGTGACCACTATCCCGTGGCTTCTCAAGGCACTGTTGATGCACCTTGGTAAGCTACACATGTCCTATTTTACAAATCTTTTTCTATTATGGTTTAAACTTCTGACTGATGCATGAAGTTCAAGAACAAACTACCAGCTATTATGTGAGTCAATCACAGTTTACCAAGAAATTTTATGTACTAGTAGGAACACAGGCAGTGGCCAACACAAAATATTTTAGGATAAACCCTAGAGTAAAACCTGAAAGAAAAGGTGATTTCACAAAATTAAACTAACTTTGGCAGTATTTATTAGAATAAAGATTATTTAATCAAAATCTTATCAAGATTCAAGCATAAATTTTCCTTCATTATTACCAACTATATTGCCATTACAAAAACTACTTTAGCTCCACTTTTGTCATATGAAACGTACTTAACAGCATTTGAATCCAGAGTTGCATAAAGATAGTACAAGCATTTCATTCTTTCATTTGTTTCCAAATTGTGTGGAACCATGTACTGGGCAAAGATGCGCTCCACCAGCAGTCTAAAAAAGAGGTAACCAATAATAAACCACCATTTTATGAACAGCAAGATTAAGATTAAAATTAAGTTTTCAAAATCAGTTCTTTTTTGCATAAAATTAATTTACAATGAACTCATAAACATATATGTATAAGGTTTTAAAATTGCTGATCAATTGAAGATTAATGATATCCCACTAAATTAATACATACAGAAGGGGCCATAAGTTGCATATATTTGATGTTGCTAAAAATGATTAAGAACCCAATGATTAAGATGCAATTATCAACCTAATCAGACAGATTGTGTAGGTTTAGAATAGGAATAATAAGCCTGTTCTTATGAGCATTATAAGCCAAAAAGCTACTTCAGTTATGCCTATTTTTCACGGTTCAAAAAGCAAGTAACTGCACAGATTTTGGTACTACAGCTCAAAAAACAACAGAAAAACCCACAAATAAGTCCAGTGGCCTCCTGGACCATTTAACTAGTTGTGATGATTGCATGATGGCAATAACTTTATCATGATTACTTTGTATACTGTAGCATTCACAGTATAAAAAAGAATATAAATAGTTTCTAGTCTGAAAAATTCAAGTTGACTTACCGATCATCAATACTGTTTTGATAATATATGTGCAACAGCTTATCCTTTATCCAAGCAATCTGTTTTGCAGCTTCCTTTCCTGCTTCTGACTGCAAGGAATATTTCTTGTAGATTTGTGCAAGTCCCATCATAGCTTCTTTTCTCACTCTCCACTAAAACAACAACACATCTTAAGCCTCAGAAGACTTAGTTTATAAATTCTGCTGTAAACATTTCAAAATATCCCACACTATTATAAATGGGTAGCATGCATTTTCATAGGGATTTATCAGAAGACTTATTCCAGTAAACTAAGGCTTAAATCTATTGTCTCACCCTTAATGCAAATAAGCCTCCAAACTTGTAGGCTTACATGCATCCTATGGCCTGAATTTATTTATTTATTTAAAAATTTTGTATCCCACCCATTATACTGTCTTAGGGCGGCAATAACATAGATAAATAAGACACAGCATCACAATATATAAAATCAAACAATTAAAACAATAGTAACTTTTAAAATTCTGGAAAAATGTAAAGGTTTTGGCCTGACGCTGAAATGAAAAAGCATTGGCACCAGGCATACCTCTCTAGGGAGCTCATTCCACAGACAGGGCACCACTGCAGAGAAGGCCCTTCCCTGGGTAGCCACTCTTCTGATCTCCTTCAAAGAGGGCTCCCAAAGAAGGACCTCCAACACAGATCTTAGGGGCTAGACAGGTATATATGGAAGGAGGCATGCCTTCACATATCCAGGTCCTAAGCCATTTAGAGCTTTGTATGTCATCACTAGCACCTTAAATTGGGCCCAGATTTCAATTGGAAGCCAGATGGTACAGGACTGGCGTTATATGTGTGTATCTGCTGGCCCCTGCTAGCAACCTGTCTGCTCTATTCTGAACCAAATGAAGTATCCAGACCATCTTCAAGGGCAGCCCCATGTAGAGTGTGTTACAGTAGTCCAATTGTGAGGTTACCAGAGCATGGGTCACCATTGCAAGGCCCTGCTCATCCAAGTAAGGGCGTAGTTGATGGATCAGCCAAAGCTGAAAGAAAGCGCTCCTCGCCACAGAAGTCACCTGGAACTCCAAGGATAACTCTGGATCAAGGAGCACTCCCAGACTACGCACCCTGTCCCTTAGGGGGAGTGCAACCCCATCCAGAACAGGGCAAGGATCACTTACCTGGAGAGTTGACCACCCACCAACAGGACCTCCATCTTGTCTGGATTAAGCCTCAGTTTATTGGCCCTCATCCAGCCCATCACTCCAGCCAGACACCGGTTAAGGACAGCCACTGCCTCACCTGGATCAGATGTAAAAGAGAGGTAGAGCTGGGTGTCATCAGCACATTGATGACTCCTCAGCCCAAACCCCTGGATGACCTCTCCCAGTGGTTTCATGCAGATGTTAAACAGCATGGGGGATAAAATGGAGCCCTGCGGAACTCCATGGCATAACTGCCATGGTGCAGAGCCATAATCCCCCAGCACCACCTTCTGGAATTGGCCCATCAATTAGGAGTGGAACCACTGCAGAGCAGTGCCTCCAACCCCCATCTTGGCCAGCCAATCCAGAAGGATACCATGGTCGATGGTATCGAAAGCCGCTGAGAGGTCCAGGAAAACCAACAGGGATGCACTCCCCCTGTCCCTCTCCCTGAACAGGTCATCATACAGGGCGACCAAGGCAGTTTCAGTCCCATAGCCAGGTCTGAATCCAGACTGAAATGGGTCCAGATGATCAGTTTCCTCCAAGAGAGCTTGGAGTTGCCCAGCCACCACCCTCTCAAGCACCTTGCCCAAGAATGGGATGTTAGCCACTAGTCTATAATTGGAAGCAATCTCTGGGTCCAGGTTTGCCCCCTTCAGGATGGGTGTGGGGGACCAGACCTTCCCTCAGAGAGGCATTAACTTCTTCCTGGACTCAGGTACACATCCCATCCTTGGCTTTAATGAGCAGCCATGAAGGGCAAGGGTCAAGTGAACAGGTGATGGATTGGACTTGTCCAAGCACCTTGTCCATGTCCTCAGGCCACAATAATTGAAACCTATCCAGCAAAGGTGGACCATACAGCACTCTGGACACCTCCCATTCCAGGACCATAACAACTGGAATCCAAATCTATGGTGAATCTGAGCGCTTTTATCCCTAAAGAGCTGGACAAAGTCTTCACAGCAAGCTGCCAATGGTGCGATACAGTCTGTCTTAGGCCCAGAATGTAATAGGCCCCACATCACCCAGAAAACCTCAGCTGGACTGCACTGTGAGAATGCAATGGAATTAGAGAAGAATTCCTTCTTCGCTGCCATCACTGCCACAGCATAGGCTCAATAATGAGCTCCCAAATGTGTTTGGTCCAATTCAGCATGAGTTTTCCTCCATCTACACTGTCATCTCCTAGCCTGCTTCATCACCCAGAATGCAGGAGTATACCAAGGTGCTGCACAGGCTCTGCACGGTGGGAGAGGATGCTTAGGGGCGATCGTGTCAACCACCCTACCCATTTCCATATTCCATAGATTGACTAGGGCATCGATAGAAGCACCAGTCATATCAACTGGAAAGTCCCCCCAGAGCCCGCAGGTATCCATCAGGATCCATAAGACTTCAGGGGCAGAAAAATTTAATCAGGCACGCACCCTTACAAAGGGAGAAGCTGGCCCCAAGTTTAAAACTCATGAGAAAGTAATCTGACCATGAAAAAGGGATCACTGTCAGCTCTCTCACTTCCAGATCACCATCTTCCTGACCAGTTGAAGAGAACAGATCCAGAGTGTGCCCTTTTTCATGTGTTGGGCCAGTGACGTGTTGAGACAGCCCCATGGTTGTCATGGCAGCCATGAAGTCCTGAGTTGCTCTGGAGAGAATCAGGTGCAGGAGTGGCAATCACTATCTCTGCTGTGCCTCATGCCCTGATTTTTATCTAGGCAGCTGTTTTCTGCCATCTAGATAAAGCACTGGGGAGTGGGAGGAAAACAGCATGGGATACCAACAGACCCAGCCTCCTCTCCTCCCTACCCCTGGCATGTCCCTTTTTCTCTTCTCTGAGCCATGATACTTTCCATGCCAGGAGTTAAGGGGCCAGGGTGGGCACCTGCTTTTCAGAGTCCAAGGTTGCAGGACCTTGGAGTTGGGACACGGGATAATCATTTCCCCAGTCAGTATGAGAAGGCCATCAGATTATACCCTAAAGCAAGGAACACAACAGTACCATAACATTTTTTCAAACTTCATGAACACCTTTCCATAAAAAGACACCCAAAATGAATAAGATACAGTTTGATAAGGAAAGGTATAAATCTCTCTAGCAATAAGTTCAGAGTAGGTAAAGAACAATCTTTCAAACTTTGTTGGTTTGAAAGGATTGCTGGCATCAAAAGCACATTTCCCCTAAAATGTAACTTCAAGTTTCAGACCATTGCAATTTACCTGCTAGATAATGGGGGCACTTCTAATTATCAAAATAAGTCAAAATAAATGTTGTAAGGTTGTTTGCCCTTCCAACAAGCCACACTATCTTAATGGGGAGATTATGGAATTCATGTTCAACACACACTGCAGTAGTGGTTTATTTTGTGCAAAGTCGGATAATACCTTTTAAAAACGGCAAAAGGTAGTCAATGGTTGTACAAAGAAAAAGAAGATCCAGAAGTTTAAAAAAAGTTTTATCAAAATAAAATAAAGCAAAAAGAAAACTGGAGTTTTCAAATTAAAAGCTCTATTATGAAGCATTTCACTGGTATCAATTCATGTTTTTATATAATTAGAAAGATTGTCAGTGAATAGGGATGGATTATATAGAAATGCAGAATTCTATTAATGAGATCATGGTCATTCTGTCTGTATTAAACCATCTGCAAAAAGTCACAGTGTTTTCATAAGTGTAACTTTTGCAGTATGGAAAGACACAAACATTATTAGCACCACAGCATCCCCATTTAATGCTCTTTATATTTCATCCAGTTTTTAAAGACAATTACATTAGTTTGTTTGTTTATTTGGGTATTTTTATCCTGTCCAATTACGTTATGCATCTCTGGACGGCATACAAATCAACATCCAATAAATACATATAAACCCAAATAATCCATAATAATCCACAACTGAGCATAAAACATAGTTAAAATATTTAAACATTGAAATTATGGGAAAATAAAAAGGTCTTGACCTGGCACCAAAAAGCATATAATGTCGGGGCCAGGCGGACCTCTCTGGGGAGCACATTCCATAGTCCAATGGTATCATTTTGCCAACTCAAATAGTACCAGCAGAGCTATGCTCAATCATTTCACTGCGCAAATGGCTATACAAGGAGTTGTTCAACAGACTGCAGAACAGACTGTTCAAGAGTCATGCACAACTGGTTGGATAACAGGTTGTACAGGCACAATGTTCAACTGTGTTTATGCAAACAACTTTACTTGGACTCTGCTTTCACTCATGGCTCAGAACCTAGTTTCTGCTAGCACTATGCCCTCTATACCAATGGAATGACACAGCTGAATACTATCCATGGAATACAAACTATTTATTGAATTATTGCATGGGTCACCTGAAACATTATAAACATGCTGGGAATTACATTAACAGCCACTTCCCTCTTGGACCAGTGTTGTATTTTGCTTCATCACATATATTAAGTGCAAAGACAAGGGAATTCACTTTCCCAAGTACTTTCTTGGTGATATCTTGGTGATATTTATTTATTTAGAAAATTTCTATGCCACCCCATTCGCCAAAGCCTCGGGGCAGCTCACAAATAAATTAATTAAAATACTATAAATTAAAAATATAAAACAAGTTAACAATATAAAATAAGTCCCTATCAAGGCACAAAAGAACTATAAATAAGTGTTGTAGGGGTTGTCATAGGACCACCAACTTGTTCATGTGTAGTGGTAATGTCTTCTGGTAGAGGCATTCTGGGAAAAGATCTTCAAATTAATTAACTATATGATAAAACCAATGCTCAAAGATGACTCCAGAAACTGCAATTCTGGATATTTTCCCTGAATATGTTATAGTTTACAATGCATAAGGACTTGATTTTACACTCTTTGGGAACAAGAACAACTGCAACCAAATTCAACTGACTTTTTTTTAAACCAGGCTCTTTTTGGGGGGTGGGGGGATTATTTATTAGTGAAGAAGCTTACCCACCACAGGAAGCTTATTCAAGTTCACACAAAACCTGCAATATTTTATGCAGTGTGATATCCATATGATGCTGATTTTCCTACATTCAGACCTATCTCTTGGAACAATTAATCTTATGGATGCTTCCTTAAATTTAGGGGCTTATAATAACAAATATATTTAAAATGGAACTGTTAAATAACCCCCTTCCACTTTGCCTTTCTTTTTTTCTTTGCTATACCAATGGAGATGTTAATGATCACTGTGTATTTATAATATTTATGTTATCGATTGTTCTCCATTTTATTTATATTTTGCTTTGCTGTTTTACAAGTGTAAAGATTTTTAAAATGGTCAGGGTATTCATTTTTGTTGTATTATACAGTCCCTGGGTAACAAACATTCTGTTCTCAAGTGCATCTTAAGTCAAATTGGTAAGTTGGATAATTTATGAATGTGTTGTATTTAGCTTGAGTTTGTCTCAGTATATGTATATATTTTACCTTTCTATGCATATCAGCACTGAAGAAACACTTCCATATACACTAAAACATCTTAAACATAATACAGTATTGTAATACAAGTTACAGAAGACAACGCTAACTGCATGTGACCCAAAACACACTAGCTTGGGTACACTTGAGCCAACGAACAACCAATGCCACAGAACATTTTCATAAGCTTAACAAACTAGTTCCCACATTTGTTACTATGAACTTTAACTCAAATTACTTTAACTCAGATTTTAAAATTAATAGGCTTTAGTTTGTTCATAAGTATGGGATGTTTGTAACTTAGACATTCGTGACCCGTAGATTTACTGTATTGCAAAATACTGTAAAGTACAAAGAGAATAATATTTTCAGCTAGAAAGTTTTGTATTTCTGAACTTTATGCATTCTAACTAAATTGGTTGGCTTCCTTTACATTTTCAAGCTCATTGGACTGAATCTTCCCGACTCTGAGGTTTGAAAAATCACTGGGGATTCACATTCAAATCCCACCCCATCACCACCAGCAAAGAAAGAATCATGCTGCTGCTTCAATTTTGGAGAATTAATTTAGTGAGTAGAGAAGGGAAGTGATCAGTGCTGCCAAGATATATCCTGGTAGTACCTCAGATTCCTTCCCTTCTCCTCTGAAAACAGCAGTTAGACAGCCCAAATCAGCCAAATAGCTGTTTTGCAGATTGGAAGCAGTATGGAGACAACCTTCACCTCCACACAGTATTAGATAACTATAATCCCCTGAGTTCAGAGGTCTACAGATAGCTTCAAAGTTTTGTACCTTACAGGGTTTTTTTTTAGTCTAAGTTAATAGCTATAATATTTCTGTAAAATGCACTACATACCTAATTTTAAAACTTGCTCAAATGACAATGACATAATTTCCTGCACCTAAAAAATTCATATTGGGTTGCTTAAAACTATATGGATAAGGAAGCATATATTGTAAATCTTAGGACAGCTTCATAAATTATACAATTCCCAAATCAATGATCTTTTTGTGTAGAATTCGCAGAAAATCTATTTTGTTCATAATATAGCCACAATCACATACATCTTTACTTATATTCAGAATTTTATAGCTTTTTCTTATACATCTATGGAATCCCTCAGTTTAGGAAAGGGAAATAAGTGCAGGCAAACTAGACAACTTGAAGAGTGATAATTCACACTTGATCTGATAATTCAGACATGATCTGATAATTCTTGCAACAGATTGTAACAGATAATAATCAAACATGATCTGATAATCCTTGCAACAGATCGTAACAGTGAATTCATTTTTAAGATGGTAAGTAAGTTGTCTATTTTTGGACTAATAGTCGAAGTAACTGACCTACACAATGACTTACCCGTTTATCAAGTGTTCGCTCTCTCACAAAGTTAAGTAGATGATCATTGACAAGCAAGAGATCTTTCTTAGCAGCAGTAACTATCGATACAATAACATCATGCCTAATGGCCTCTTCAGGGTCGTGAGACCTCACTTTAAGATATTCTGTATGAAAAAGACACCTTAATTAAAATTTCAGACAATCAAGTTAAATACCTGTAATTTAAACTGATGTAGATTGCTGTTGGCATATTGGTCCTAAAGAATTAAATACAGAAGGATGTGTAAAGAGAAAAAAAACACTACAGCCATTTCCTATTTCCTCTTAAGAAGCTCAGTTATTATCAGATTTGTTATGATGTTACTTTCATTCATGAAAACAGCTTAGTTAAATCATGTTGACTTTACTTGCCTAGTAACAGTTAATGAATTATCTGTTCTACAAGGTCCCTAGCAAACAGATAAGCAATAAAACAAAGCAAAATATCATACGTTTATCATCCCATTCTCCCAATAAATCTGCAGATTTATAACCACCATAATTTACAGCTTGTGACAAGCTGCCACTTGCTCTCATGTGCTGTAAACTAAAAAGATGTGGGAGAAAAATGCATCTCCACTGTTCATGTACCTTCTGTGCATGATAGGATGCATCATACACAAGAAAAAAACCCACTATGCAGGCCCACATGTTTATATCCATCCAAATGTGTTACTAAATAAATAATTTGGATAATTCTCTGAAAATTTTGTTGGTTACAATCTTACTTCCAGTAAGTAAGAAAAATATTAATTCCTCCTGTTTACTATGGCTTAAAAATAAAAAGAAAAGTCAGTCATGCTATATAATAACAGCTTTTAAAGCCCTAAAACCATGGATTTTAATTCTTTGAAAATTACCAACCAGTGGGATTGGTGTGAATCCCAATAGCTGTCTGAATTATTTGCAATTGACATCCATATTCCTCATTCCTATATTCACATTTTTAAAAGGTTGTTAGTAGGTTATCAGGGGTCTAATTTATCTCTACTGAAATTAATAGCAACATTAAGCTGCCAAATGTTTGAGTCAGCATTTTCCAACCTGATGCCCTCTAGATGATTTTGAGTATAACTCCTATCAGCTTCAGCCATCATGATCATGGTCATGTGAGAACAGACTTTGACATAAGCTAATGGAAGACCATTCCATTCCATGCAAATTCTTAAAATACAGCACAGAAAATAGGATTTCACTTTATTACTATCATACTATCTTTTTGTTTGCTCAGATTACTTCTGGGAACTAGAATAATCTGTTTTTGTTTAAAAATACTTTAAACACAAAGATGTTACAAAATGTTCTTCCTGTGTTTAGAAAAAAATCACTATGTACTGCTAAGGGTCTATTTGACCACAGGAATATATTTTGTTCTGGGGTTTATTACTGATCGAAGCTGGCTTATATTGACATAGGTGATAACAGACAGCGGAAACTTGCAACACTAATATCCTGTTCTTTCTGAAAGAAAACTGTTAGGTTAATGACAGTCATTAGGTTAATGACAGTCAAATATTTCACTGATTTTTTTTGCTTCTTTCAAGAATATTTTTCCTTTTGTTTTCTTCTTCAAAAGTTCCTGATTGTCCAATGAAGTCTGCCTAATTTGTGGATCTGCAAGCCATATCTGCTCAGACATCTCTCCTAAGCTTGGTCATCCAGAGTCAATCAAATAGATAATTACTCTCTGTACTACTGTACTTAACATGTTGAACTTAACACCATGGGATTCATGTACCTCCATAATTGATATTACAGAATCCAATATACCTCAACAATTGTTATTTTAGGCCACATTTTCTTTACTAGGAACAAATTGACTTTTTATGTTCAACTAGAATAATTTTGAAACCAAAGCATATCTTTATTTCTAGGTATAATTTTAAAGGAGTACCTTATCAGTGTACTACTTTTAAGTAGTACACTGATACTGTCAAAATAAATGGTATGAGAAGACTAGGATAGCAATAAGAAGGGAGCTGAATCTTGATGGAAGATACACCTGTCTGAACATTGAGATCTTCTACTGAGGTCCTTCTAAAAGAGGCTGGAAGAGCGGCTATCCAGGGAAGGGTATCACCCTGGCTATGGAATTTGCTCCCCAGAGACATGCATCTGGAACCAGTACTTTGTTCATTTTGGCACCAGGCCAAAGCCTTTTTATTTACCCAACATTTTAATTGTTCACTGGTTTTTCACATATGACAAAGTCTTTTTACAGCATATTTTTGTAACTGGAAATATGCTTTATCTAGTGCTGTTATGGCCTTAGTTTTTTGTAAGCTGTCTAAAGATCCATCCTTGAATACAAGAGAGGGTAAAAATGTTTAAATAAATAAGATCAAGACTCAATGAAACACAGGTTGATGATTAAGTTCAAACCAAACAATAGCAAACAACATAACAAACGACATAACAAACTTCAACAATCCGATGCCAATGTCTGAATATTCAAAATGGTTGCCCCCACACACTGCAATCCATCATAATTTAAATAAGCAATAGTAGGCTGCAGTGATCATGCAAACTGGCCTACTAGACCTTATGTTCATAATCCAATTCAATCGTTATACCCAAGCATGGATGACTGAAGGCAAATGTTTGGCAAATGAAAGGGAATCCTCACCTTCATACACATACAGTGGTACTTTGGCTCACAAACATAATCCATTCCATGACTCTAGTTGCGGCCCAAATTGGTTGTGAGCCAAGTCAAATTTCCCCATAAGGTTCAATGTAAATAAGGTTAATTCATTCTGTAAATATTTTTTTAAATCACAGGGAAAATGGACACAATCGCGGGTGCGCTGGGGGGGGGAGACGGGCGCAATCGTGGCCATCTCCCCTCCCGAGCACAACTGTGATCGCGCCTGTCCCCCCCCCCCCCCCGAGAGTGCCTGCGATCATCACCCGATGTGGTGTTTGCAACCTGAGGAAATATTTTTCCTAAATTCTGTTCGTGACCCGATTTGCTTGTGAACTGAGGTGTTTGTGAGCCGAGGTACCACTGTATAGGAGAAAAAACTGTTATATCATCCAAACTAGCCCTTTGTAAATATACTGTAATAACCACTGCAAACATTGTGTAACTTTTTAAACCATGAAGGCATAATCCAATTTTGTTAGACAGAGAAAAGTTACTATTTTCCTGCAGACCAGATCTACTGATACCTGTTAAATCCTTGGCTAGGTCTGGATGGTTCATAAGGCAGTGACTAGCAAATTTCACACATTCAAGACGGATAGGTACATGGATATCGTTAAACCTGTTTTTGAAAACAAAGCAAACAAACAAAACCAGCATATTTACAACAGTTAGGTTATTCTCATTTCACTTTTCACCAAGATGTCAATCAATTTTTTAAAATACAATGTCATGATAGAATCATAAACACACCAGGTAAAATCCAGAGATATGAAAGATAAGAAACCTAGCAAGGGTTAGCAGAGAAAAAAAAATAGCACAGGAGAGATCTAGTGGAAAAATGCAAGCTGAGATGCTTTGTACAGCACACTGTACATATACAAGCACAGAAGTGGATCTGAGACATTTTTCATTGAAAAAACATGTATATAAGAAAAGAAAAATTCATTATCAATGCTATCAGAATGAGAATGGAGTTCCCCAGCTTATGCAATTTACTTTTTACCACCACCATGCATTGTTTCTGATATTAAAACTACTGGTAGTCTTCAATGGATGGTTCACATGCCAGTAAATAGTAAATGTCACACATTCAAACCTAAAAGGTATACCTGAAGTACCATGTATCATATTGAATAAATATTTTTAAAAGTACTAAAACTTCTAGCTCAAAGTTTTAGCTAGAATGTTAACCCAGTTTAAATTAATGATTGCTGTTTTGTAGGCTGTGATATGGTGACTATGCTTAAACTAACACAGTAAGAGTTAGAAAAGGGAGAACAAAAGAAGATGGATTTATTCTAAAGATACACTTTTATTTCTTGGAATGAAAAAATTCAGGGAGCATAAGACACCCTTTCCTTTAGTGTGCTTGATTTAGTATCACTTTTGACATAACTGACAATATTATGTTTTGATTTATGATGATTTTTGGAATTAGGATTTGATCACTGTGAATACTTTCAATGTTGTTAAATATCAGGTATTGTACCATCAAGCATTATGTTACACAAACCTAGTTTTGTACATTAGCCAATAATGCTCAGCTAAAAAATATCCTAAGCACTTTACTACAAATATTTTTTCAGTAATAAATATTCATCAAAGTTACAAAATTCAAAAATAGAATAAAAATTTAATGAGAAAAAGAATACTTTTAGTTTATTAAGTTGTTCTAAATGCATTTCTACCATTTTAGTGTGCTGGAAGTTCTCAGATTGCATGAATACGCATCCCAGCTTGTATTAAATAAATCAGCATTTACTGTTCACACTCAAACTTCAAAAATGGACTACAACAATATGCTTGTATGGTTTTATTTATGAACTCTAGCTCTATTTCTCATTTTAACTAAAGGAAAAAATCAAGAGGAAGATATAGATTTAAGAGTACATCTATCACAGTATGTATTATATATTAAAAGATGTGTGTTTGTTAATAAGCATATTAACACCTGTATCTGGAATGTACTTCAAATTCCATTGGGTTTCTATTGCTGAATCTCTGAAGAATCTACAATGGTTAAATACTGATCAAATTCAAATCATAAACTGAAAAATTCTTAAAGTATTTCAACACTTGCTTAAGTAACAGTAAATGCAACAACCTAAAAACTGCTTTAATTTTAATCTGGTGGCTCATATGTATCAGGGGTATGGAATCACATATGAAGTTCCATCTTGCTGTGTTAATTTCAGAGTAAGAAGCATAAGAGAACTCTTACATACCTATGATTCATGCTTATAGACAAAAGAGAATATCTAAAATGTTTAATAATTACATTGTGTTTAATGAAACTGCAGTGTTTAATCTCTGAATCTAAAACAGTATATACCTCCCCAAGTAGCATTGCCATAGCGGTTTGTTTTGAGATGCTAATTCTGAATCCTTGGCCCCAAACATTTTTGCTAATAGTTTTACAACCTGCAGGCGTTCTTCATTGTCATTGCTCTGTAAAATAAATACAAATTTATATTATACATTGCAAAAACAGGCTATAGAACAAACAACTTTCATTAAGAAAAAGCATATGGTTTCCCCAAAGTCTTCCAGTACTACCACATTAATCTGATAAATTTATCAGGCATAATATTATACCAGGGTGGAAAACTTTCTTTCTGTTAAAAGTAATTTATAAGGGGCTACTCATAGTGAATGGACCTAAAAACAATAGTGAACAGAACGAAAAGAAGAATTTTTTTTTTCTTTTCCTGCCACTCCCTTTTCTGTCTTCCTGGTGCCTCCCTTTTGCTCCTGTCCTCCTCCTTTCCAAGGAACAGGTTTCCAAGGAAGACACACAGATCTAAATGCCACAGATCTAAACTGAACAAAAGTGTAGGGCCATAGACTGCCAATTTCTGCATTAGATATTCAGAGTGTCTTGATCAGCCCTCCACCTATGAGGGATTTTGTTTGTAACAGAATACATAACATACTACTGTTAGAAGACTAATGCATATAACACACCAACTTCTTCAAACATACTGGCTTCAAACTGGAGCATGGGCCTAAATGTTGCTATTTGTATGGGAAAAGTGAAAAAAAGAGAAGCACTGGTATATACATATATAGCTAACTGGAATAAAGAAAATTTAGTAGTGGATGTTCATCTGGAAAAGGAGTTGGGTAATGAATGTTCACTGATAGAATGGAAAATAGTAACCTCTCACCATGCCCAGCAACAAATTTAACCCTTTAACACATGAAAACAATCTCCAAGCAAACAAGCCACTGCCTTGTGTGCCTGCCCGCCCCACCTCTCCTCCCCACGCATGCACCTGTGTGCGCACCTCCCCTCCCCTCGCTGCACACCCTGCCCCCGCCTCAGCACGCATGCCCACATGCGCCAACTCCAGCCCAGCCCACGCGCACCACTGGTACCACCTTTCTGGCCCGCACCCAGCACTGGCACCTTTCAACTGGCCCCCTGGTTAAAAAGTTTGAGGACCCCTGCTTTAACAAATCAGAATTTGACAAACCTGGTGTAACACTTACCTTAAGCTTGAATTCAAGCTGTGGCAAAACTGAGAGTAAAAGATGGCTATCAATATTGTATAGCTCCAAAATTAAGTCAAAAACGTGCTCTGAGAGATCACTGATAGAAGTTTTTCCTAACATAAGCACTTGATTAAAGAACTGTAAAACAAACAAAATACATCAACAGCCAAATACACACAAGGTTTTAGTCTCTCTTAGCAATTGTATAAATTTATTTTGGGGAAATACAGAATACAGATTATATCAAAATGTCCAGAAAATCACACACACACACAAATCCATAACCTTTGAACTGCAAAAATAATTTTCTTGGTCATGCTTTGAATGCTTGAGGAAGCAAAATTAATAACTTCTTTTCAACTTTAGGTTAGTTCTCCATATTTATAAAATTACATTATTTGACAACTCTCAGTGAAACTTCATCAATTTTCATAAGATAGTCTACTAACCCACAATTCTCGAAAAACTGCTGCTGCCTAAGATATTGGTTAACTCAACTAAATTAACTGTAGGAAACATTAACATAACACTGAATATGTGTAGAGCAGGACCCCCATATCTGTGAGGATAGGTTCAAAGCCCCCCTGCAGATGCCTGAAACCACAGATAATAGTGATTGCTTTATACTGTACATATACATTTCTTTTTTCTTAATTCCACAGATAGCCACGTCAGCATATTTTTTTCTTTCCCTATTAAATTGAAAATTTTCACTTAAAGAAACATTTTACAACTTCTCTTTCAGACCAAGGTCGACTGTGGTTAAGTGACAAAGTGGTAACTGAAGCAACAGATATGCGGGTTGTCCTGTACTTTGAAAATTCCCTCTGGTTTCAATTCGACTTCCTTCCAAGCAATTTTTAAGTCCATAACCAACTATGCATCATTTAAAGTAGAGGGGCCAGCTTCCAAACATCTAGAAATAATATTGTATTTAGCTTCTTTTTCAATCCAGGATTTTATTTACCGGGTAAAGTAAATAAATAAAATCTTGTAGTAATAACAAAATAGGAACACTAGTATAAGTTATTTCCTGCTTATAATATTTTTGTGAGTCTATCCTTAAACAGGAAAAAATAGTGTTGCTATCAAACTACTTTCCTGCTTTGGAATACAAGCCATGGTTATTTGTATTGCCTGCTGAAGTAAAAAAATAGGACCCAAGAGTTGTTTCCTAGCTCAAATTGTAACCCAAGCCAACTATAACACTTTATAACCCACCCACTTACTAGGACAATATTCCAGTGGAAGAAGCACAGAGAGCCCTTGTTTTGTAGGTGTTAAACACTGCGAAGGCTACATACGAGACATGTATGCAGGCACCCTGTAAGCTATAAAATATAGCACATCTTTGGAAAATGATGCTTACAAACTCCCATGTGCCTGGAATGCTGCTCAAGTAGTATTCTGGGAGCTACCAGGAAGGGAAGTCTCCAGTCTTCTCACTGCTACTAGCTCCTTAGTAAGTGGGATGCTGGGAAATGTGGGTTCCATGCCAAATAAGCATAGTACAGAATCCAAATTACAAGGCAGAGAAGTCTGCCCACCAAGACTGAGTGATATTTTTGCATTGCTCATCTCCATACACACATTTTTACATGGACAAACATAATATGGATTTATTCCACCCCAATCTGTGTTTATTCTAATCTAATGCATATTTACTTGAACATGTATCATTTAGTTCAACAGGATTTACTCCCAACTAAGCATATACAGTATTTCAAGTCTTTGAATTAGATTCAGACTTAGACAAGCTTAGAGTGGAGTAGAGGTGGGCAATATTTTCGGGTCTGTGGACACCTTTGGAAATTAGAGAAATTATTCTAAGCACTAACACGAAGTAGTTGTTATGGGAGACAATGAATGACTAACCAACTTTGAAGGCTGAGTGCAAGACACAGACAGGGTCTGAGTCCCAATACACTAAATAATTCCTTTGAGATCACAATTTATTCATTCATTAGATTTATATCCCACTTTTTTCTTATGAACTCAAAGCAACTTACACCATTCTCGCTCTCAATCTTATCCCCTCAACAACCTTGTGAGGTAGGTCAGTCTGTGCCTGGCCCAGAGTCACCTAGTTGGCTCTATTGCCAAACAAGGCCTAGACACCAGGTAACCTGACTTCCAGTCTTGACCACTGCACCACACTGGCTCTCAACAGTTCCAAATTACACATTTCTTGTTTCAGTTCTATTTCTTGATGACTGAGTGTACAGCACTAGAAAGCACTAGCCTGTAGTCATCCACCATCTTCATTTCCCAGTAATTTGTCTGAGCCCAGAGGCATTAATGGAAAACAAAAATGGGAGCAGCTGTTCTGAAGTGTTCTCAGCTATCTGTAACAAAATGTTAGTTTTAAAAAGTAAGGAGACAGGGGACCTTAGTGAAAACCAAGAAAACTTCCTGGGGACATCATGGCCACCCACTGTGTACTCCTGTAATGTGCCCATTAGGATAAATGGGACTTATATTACTAATTAATAATTTGTTCCATAGATTTCATGAGGTCTACTGTAGGCATAACAGTTTCAATCTAACTGTATGTTCATAAACTGAAGGACCTGTGTCACTAAAAAAAAAGGATAGGCAGTGGTTGATACCTATCTCAAACCAGCAATGTAGCAAGTCACCTAATGCACCCACCAATTGATATAATTAGCATCTGTTTCTTTGGTTAATGCATAATGCTCTGGCAAAATAAGAGTGCAGTCAGCTGTGCACAGGGAGTGTTTTAATATGAGAGGAACATTCAAAAATCAAATATGAAATATAAAGCTATCTGTTATCTTAAAACATACCTCCCCCTCCCCAATGCTCAGTAATCATTAAGTTATACCATTCAGCACACATGCCTGGCTGAGGAATGCTGGAAGTTGCAGAACTATCTTCTGTATAAACACGCATGGGACTGTGCCCTTCATCTGCACACGTAGTTTAAATTCTCACTTACATTAGTAATGTAGGGCTCAATAGCTTGAGCTGTTCTCTTCAATAATGCCTTTGCCAGGTCATATGCTTGCTTGTTTAAGTTCTGGAAGATATATTTACGACAGGTAATGCTGTAAGAGTATGCTTGATATTTGACTGCTACTACTAAGCAAATCAAAGTAACTATTTTTCTCAAACTCTCAGAAATCAGGATTGATAAATAGTGCTTACAATACTAAAGCTACAAATATTGCAAAAATACTACAGCATAATATAGAAAAACAACAATACACATTACTTGTCAATACTGAGTTCAACTTTCAAAGCTCAAACAGAGGGCATGATTCAGGTAGTAATCCCACATATATTTATCTGAACTCAATGGAACTTACTTCTAAGAAGACATATATAAACTTTGGTTTCTGTTGCCTTCCATCTCACAATCTAGCAATTTAACTGATATTAAACTATATTAGTGCACATAATTTTTGCCTATTACTTTAACCAACTGAAGTCCCATCTCCCCTAAAAACCTGCATCTGAGAGTTGGAAACAGAATTATATTCGACAAAGAAGATAGCAGCAGATAGGAAAGATCCATTAAAATTAGGTACACTACTTAAAATGTGTAGAAGGCTTTTTGCTAAGACAAAGCCACTATGAGGTAAAAGTTATAATCTTTAAAAATGACCTTCTATTAAGCAGATTTATTTAAACACTGCTTTTGTATTTATATTTTTAAATGGAGTAAAATATCTGACTTCTGTGGCTAAAACATCATAGACAAAAAATAACTTATACATTTTATTTATTATTTTAAGCATCCTGTTGGATCCAGGGACTTTTCATAAGTGTGAGGACCCAGGATCATCTAGCGATCCCATATGAACAATCATTTATTCCTATTTCACGCTTCCCCTCCTTCCTAAGTTCTACAAAGTACTTGACTTCAAATTTAATTCTAAAATTAAATAACCTAACAGCATAGTCATTTACTTACCACCTCATTGAGAAATGCCATTTCGCACAATAACTACCAGACCTTGCTTATGGGAAGGCTGTGGATACTTAGAGCTAAATAAAAACTTGCTTTAGATTTCAGAGAATGTGGGCTTACATAGTTTCATTGCATATGTACAGATAGAACCTAACAGAAATTTGTCTCATCTCCAAATACACATAATTCGGCAGAGTGCATGGGCTGCATGTCCAGAGATTATTAGGTTGCATAGTTGTATTTAATTGCAAGCCAATATTTAGTTGTTATAGCAACGTTAGTAGGTATTCTTGAACATGAAACAAGAAGATCAAAATAGGACACATTATTTAAATCAGTCTTTTTCTTTGTGATTTAAATTGTGAATTAACTTAATGTATCTTGTGAAAAGTCTTATTAAATTCAGTTTCAAACTATTTTTGTACAACAGCTAGACCCTAATAGGGCTAAATAGAAAATATTTTTATGAAAATTCTAAGATGTAATAGCTTGGATTCAGCATCTACCTTCCATTGATGAAACTGCTTTCCTCACAAAAGATACCTCCATCAGATTTTTCAGGAGGAACAGCTGTGAGGAAGGGAAGTTCACGTGAACCAGCCTAGTTGAATGTGCCTAAATCTAGTTCCAACCCAATGTTGCCAAATAAAACTAATGTAAATTATCATTATCCCTATTAAAATGTATATGCTTCCTACAGAGGTATCAAAGCAGAAACATAAAACAGATCATCAAAACATCCAGTATAATAATAAAAGAACAAAATAGTAAAAATGCTGTAAAACTGCACTCTCTACTGCGTGCTACAGAACACAACCACTGTACATCAAAACTATAGGGGCCTGTCTAATGCTTTATCATTCTAGGGGTGATAGCTGGAACTCTAAGTATTCCGCTATTAGTGCTACAGATCTCAGGAGCATGGAGTATCCTCAGAAGTGTTTCCTTAGATGATTGGAGAGAACAAACAGGAAGGGACACAGAGGGATCCTTGTCCCAAATTGTTTAGACCCCTGGCAGCCAGAGTTCTTTTAGCATCCCCAGTTAGCAGCCTTGTGCTGCATTTTGCCCGAGGTTAGTCCACAGAACACATTACAATCATTCAATCTTGGGATTATCAGTGGCTGAATCTGATGTACGCGTATTTCTAGTGTCTTCTAAATTGTAGCAGCTCCTTGCATCCATAATATCAGAAGAAGCTTTGCAGAAGTCCATCTGCAGCTTGCAAAAACTAACATGAAACTGTATATACACAGCCAAGTCATGAAGTACATACTACAAATATTGGAAGAACAAAGGCCACTAATAAAATCTAAACAAAATGTACAACAAGGCTCCCACGTACTGCAACCCTCCAAAATGTGCTACTCATAGCATCCCTGATTAGCTGTTCAAAATTCAACACTGTGGCTTCCTTTTTGGATTTGATCCATATGATCTGGCCTTCCTTGTCTTCTTCGGTCTTTCATAGTATGATTGTCTTCTACAGTGAGTTTTGCCTTCTCATGAGGTGCCTCAGTTTTCTCATTTTTGCTTCCAGGGAAAGGTCTGGTTTGATTTGATCCACTTTGTCTTTGCAAAGTTTTTGTCCGACACCATGTTTCAAATGCATCAATTTTCTTCTTGTCAGCTTTCTTCATTTTCCAGCTTTCACACCCATACATACTGCTCAGGAATACAATGTTGTGAATGATCCTGGTCTTGATCTCCAGTAAAACATCCTTAAATTTGAAATTTCCTTTTCTAGTTTCTTTACTGCTTCCCTTTCAAGTCTCAGTCTTTTTCAAATTTCTTAGCTGCAGGCTTTCTTTGAATTTATGATGGTGCCAAGGTATACAAAATCTTTCTCAATTCTGATTTCTTCATTGTTGACAGCAACATTATGTAATGTTTCTGCAGTCATGATTTTTGTTTTCTTAATATTCAGTTACAGTCCTGCTTTTGCACTTTCTTCTTGTACTTTCATCAAAGGTCATCTCAAGTCATTGCTGCTTTCTGCCAGTAAAATGGTATCATCTGCACATCTTAAATTATTAATGTCTCTTGCACCAATTTTCACTCCTTCCTTTGATCCTAGTCCAGCTTTCCTTATACAGTGGTACCTTGGCTCATGAACTTAATCCGTTCCATGACACTGGTTGTGACCCAAATTGGTTGTGACCCAAGTCAAATTTCCCAACAAGATTCAATGTAAATAAGGTTAATCTGTTCTGGCCCCTCCAAATGTGGTTGTGAGCCAGTTTTTGGTTGTGACCCAAGGCAAATTTCCCCATAAGGTTCAATGTAAATGAGGTTTATCTGTTCTGTAACTATTTTTTTAATCAGAAATTTTGAAACAAGTGACAAAGAACAACAAAATAACAAAGTACTGTACAGTACAATGGAGAACAATAACTTAGGTGTGGGGGGGGAGATAATTGTTTTGTGGGAGAGTCCCCCTTCATAAGGACATTGGGGAGATCTCTTTCAGGGGTTTCCTTTCTTCTGTGTCTCTTAGCTGCAGGGTCAATTTTGGTGAAAAATCTGTCTACAGTCACTTGTTTTTTCCTGCGCTGCATAACCCTCTGGAAATGAGAGACCACATTATTGTTCATCAGATTCAACACTCTGTTCATTACATTTATGTTGGGGTGGTGCTTCTCAAAGAAATCCTGGCATGGATGTGCTCCTGCAGGAAAGGTGGGCGCAATCTCGGCCATCTCCCCCCACCCCCGAACCAGCATGATCGTGGCCATCTCTCCCCCCACCCCACCCCGAGTGGGGAGATGGCCAGGATCGCAGTTGCGTTTGTGCAGGGAAGACGTACGTGATCACAGGCACGCTCCTGCAGGAAAGATGGGCGTGACACAGCACAGCCGTGATCACACATGTTCCTTGCACAAAAGCGACTGCGATCATGGCCACCTTCCCACTCGGGGTGGGGGGGGTGGGGAGACAGCTGCGATCTTGGTCGCCACCCAAAGCGGGAGTTCGTGACCCAAGTCAACATTTTCATTAAATTTTTGTTCATGACCCAAGGCATTCGTGAGCCAAGGTGTTCATGAGCCAAGGTACCACTGTAATATGTGCTGCATACAGATAAAAATACAGCTTTGTCTAATGCCTTACAAATTATTATTTTGAAGGATGGCCATCCAACTCCTACTCTGCACAGTTGGTTTTCCTTCCTTCTTCTCCCCACTCTTTCAACCACTGCCACAGAAGTGACCCAGCTGTTTTTACATCTTTTAGAAATGAAGGGCTGCTTCTTAATACAGAAGAGGGCATAGCCCAGTGATAGCCTGTATTAAATTCAGGAAAACATTGAGCTGAAAGTTCCTCTGCTTCTTACCTTAGATAGCTGATATTTCTCCGAGTAGTAGGGGTAGAGGATAGTAATCTTAACTAGCATCACAATTTTAACTGAGAACCAAACCCTGGGTTATAAAATCATGTATAAAATGTATTTTAAATATAACATTGCCAAATGCATACCTCATTTAACATTTAATACAATGTTTTGAATTTTTAAAAAACATTAATGCTTACCTTGTGTGCAGGTACCAGGTTAACTAAAACTGTATCCAAAAGCTCCTGAGACACTGTATCACCTTCACAAATGATAGAGCTCATCAAATCTACCATGTGCATATGAACCTTTTGGTTATGACCATTGCTGAAATTAAGAGGAACAGCTTTTCAGCTCAGCAACTCAATGTCATTTATATGTTTGTTTGTTTGTTTATATATTTATAAAAAATGTATTATACTGAAATCCAGTGTGGCATTGTATTTAGTGTTGAATTGAGGACCTGGGAGATCCAGGTTCTAGTCCCCATTTGGCCATGAAGCTCACTGGGTGACTTCAGACAACTCACTCACTCTAAGTTCAACCTACGTAACTGGGTTGTGCTGTGAGGATAAAACAGAGTTTTGTAAGCTGCCTTGGGTTCCTCACAAGAGGAAAAAATAATAATAAAAACACAGAAAATCTAAACAACAAAAATTTGAGGAATTATTTCTACCAGACGAAACACACAAACCTAAATGTAAAAAAAATGTAAAAACAATTGAAAAGTTTGCTTTAAAATGCCTGACCAAACAAAACGGTTTTCAGGAATTCCTGTTATGTCTGTTTCTAGCTATGCTGCTGTACTGTATTAGTTTCAATATGGATTTTGGCTTCTATTTTTTTCATGTTTACTGTATGCTACCCAGAGAGGTTTTAACTGTAGGGCATCTAAGAAAACTTTAGAAATACATAAAAATGGTTTTTGGAGGAGTATGTCTCAGTTCTTTGGAACTGTCATTCTCTAATGCTCTGTCTCAATATAAAATCAGTGCAGATTTTATTTTTCACAACTCTACAATTAGAGTTCTCCATCAGCTCCACTGGCTCCCGATTGAAGTCCGGGCCCAATTCAAGTTGTTGGTTATGACCTATAAAGCCCTAAATGGCTTGGGACCTGGATATCTAAAGGAACGCTTGCGCCCATATATGCCCTCCCACCCCTTGAGATCAGCAACAGATGCCCTTCTTCGGGAACTCTCTGTGAATATTAGGAGGATGAGTACCCGGAGGAGGGCTTTCTCTGCGCTGGCACCCCATCTATGGAATGCGCTCCCCAGAGAGCTCTGCCTGGCGCCATCGTTATTTGTTTTTCAGCACCAGGCTAAGACCTTTTTATTTAAAACTTATTTTAATTGTTAAATTATTTGAATTAATAGGATTTTAAATTTTTAGCTGAAAATGCACCGGGGGTTTTTAAACAATTTTTTAAAAATTGTTATATTGTTATTATTTATGTATTTATGTATCCTTTGTGAGCCGTCCTGAGGCTTTGTTGCGATGGGGGCGGCATAGAAATGTTTTTAATAAATAAATAAGGTCAAAGGCTTAAATATGTGCCCTTAAACATAGGGGATGCATAAAGAAAAGTGGCAGAGGTGAAGTCAAGGAAACTAGGCTAGAATGTAAATGTGGAGAACGAACTTGTTTGACACTTTTCATGATTTTTTATGAACAACATAACACTGTCAACTATGATTTCAAGGATTCTATGAATGTGCTTCTCTGTATGCAAGACTATTTAAACTAAAACATTCAATAATTTCCATAAAAAACTAAACATCTGCATTCTTGGTGATTAGACTGCAATCCTATACACACTAATCTAACACAAATCATTTTTCCTTTAACCAAATATATGGGATTATTAGGCAGCTGGACACTTTAAAGAGATGCTGATCCCTAATAATCAGATGGGGGAGTGTTCAGCCCTATCTTCATAAAAATGTGGATAAACCTTCAAATGTAGATTTAAAGATAACATACTCACTTGATTACAGAAAACAATGTTCTGTAAAGTTGTGTAAATATTTCATTGCTATCCTCTAATTCAAAGCATATGTTGTAAGATTTGACCCATGCAATGTTCTGTATAGGAGGAGAAGACAAAACTAAAGTTAAGTGCCTCTTAATTAAAAGAAGTAAAACAAAGGAGACAAAGACTGATGCACAGACACAGGAGAACAGAAACATGTTTCTGACTGTCATGAAATGCTATTGGTGTTTTATAATAAGTGAACCCTTTGATCATTTATAGCAAGATAAATATTAACTGTAAACAGTTTAAGCTTACCTCTAGTAAATAAAAATATCTATTGAACTGTGGGCTTTTTGTGTCTTCCAATCCTTTCAACTGTCTTGTTATGAACATAAATATATCCTACAAAGGAAACAGTATATAATATGTTATGTGAAGTAAATTACTAATGGTAAAATCATTCACTTCAACTGAAAAAAAAAGCATTTCTCTAGGGACTAGTGAACTCATAACATGTTTTAACTAACCTCTTGTTCTCACAATCAAAGTCTGAAGCACATGAAAAGACAGAAAATGTTAGGAACATTAATCAGATTTTTGCAGCACTGATTTTCACTTTATTTTATTTTGAAATAATAGTAGATTCCTAATTGTCTGAGATGACTGCAGATGGTTTAGATATAAGGAACCCCTGATCATTTCTGAAAAGCTAATTATTTTTCTTTCCTCCTTACAACAATAAACCTACATCCATACCACAAAACCAGGCTACTTATGTTTTTAGTTCCGCACACACATATACAAATTATGAATATGTGAAAAATGCAACAATGGCATTTTTGCAACATGAACATTCATCAAGGTCAGTCTTTATTGGTGCTAATTTCTCCCAGTGGAGGAACATGAACAGTGAAGGACCAATGCTTTCCAACTTAGTCATAAACAATTTGCTATATGGAGTGGGAAGTGAACTGGCCAAGTTTGTTGATGACACCAAATGATTTAGTGTGTCAAAAAGGATAGTGAGAAGCTCCAAAGATCTTTGCAGACTGGAAGAATGGGCATCAAAATGGCAAATGAGGTTCAATGTAGGCAAGTATAAAGTAATGCAGGTTAAGGCAAAAAAAATCCTTACTTCAAGTATAAACCAATGGGATCTGAGTTGTGAATGAGCTAATGGTAAGTCATGAAAAGTGTCTTGAAGTTCTGGTAAACAATGCAATGAAAATGTTGACCCAATGTGCAGCTACTGTGAAAAAGGCAAACTCAATGCTAGGCATGGGGCGGGGATGGACACTAGTATCATATTCCACTAGGGTGCAACCGCACTTAGAATAATATGTCCAGTTCTGGTCATTTCACCTGAAGGATATAGTAGATATACACTAGAAAAAAGAGCAGAAAAAAGTAACTGAACTAAGAGGCTGGAGCAACTCCCCTGTGAAGAATAGTTCTAGCAGTTGAGACTATTTTGTTTAGTAATAAGATAAGTAAGGGGAAATATGATAGATGCCAACAGAATTATATGTGATGTGGAAAAAGTGGAGAGGGAGACATGTTTTTATCTTTCCTATAATACTAGAATGTAGGGCCATCCCATGAAGTTGACTGGTAAAGAATTTAGGACAGATAAACAGAAATACTCCTTCGCACAATGCATAATTAAACGATGGATTTCACTACTATGAGATGTAGTGATGGCCACCGAGTTGGTTATTAGTGGGTTGGACAGATTAACAGAATAAGCTATCAGTAGCTAATAGTCTATTAATATGTTCCCTGCAGTATCAGAGGAAGTGTGCCAATGTACAGGAGAACTTGGGAGGAGGGTGTTGTTGCATTCATATCCTGCTTGTGGGATCTTGTAGGCAATTGGTTTACCACTGTGTGGACAGAATGCTAAACTGAACTGACCACTGGTCTGACCCAGCACAGCTCTTCTTCTGTTCTTAACATTTTTAATTACACTACTCTCAAGTTTAGGAATCTAGAAAAGCATCTGTTTCTTTAACAGACTTAGATCTGACAAAGAATAGAATTTCATAAAAAAGTAATTACACAAATCAGAATCAAATCAAGCAGTACATTAACAAAAATCAAGGCAATGATGCCTAACCCCCATTCAATTTAACTTAGTTCTGTAAATTTAATTGAACAGTTAAGCAGGTGCTGCAGCCACCTTCAGTTCATAATAAATTTTAAAATACTCATTGATTGTCATCTGTCCAACCATAATAGAAACCAATCAAGAGGACTGCTGTTGAGGCAGAAATTAAAAGTCTGTTATTGTATCTTAAAATACTATCAGTACATCTTTTTCAAAAAGTCAAATGTCATCTAATCATGTTAATAATTATTGGTCACCAAAACAGCCCTGGGAATTTCAAGTATGCATTCTAGGAAGGTGTGGCCTGTCTGACAATTTAATAACGTCATTTCAATGCTCATTAACTAAGCTAGGAGTAATACATTCACCTTGTATTCTTTTTTGGAAGTAGTTTAGAAAGCTAATTTAGCTGAAAAGGTGTCTAATACTGCTATAAGACTGCATAAGCACTAACATAATTCTGTGATGGCAACAAGGTGTTAAAGAAATCATGGGTATCACTGATACATTCAAACATGATCACTCAATTAACACTTTTTAACTTATTTAATATATACCCAAGGATAATTAGGATGGCTTATGAGAATAACAATGCAATGTGTTGATCAGTCTGTAGAAAACCAAATGAGAACATTCTCATAATTCTCTTAAGCAATGCATACAATCCCTGCTTTAACAAAAAATTCTGCTTAAATAAACATTGTCCAGATGCAGCCACCAGGTGGCTTTCTGCCTGAAACAAATTTCTCCACCCATGTACATTCCGATGTGCAAAACAGACCAATACAATGTAAGTGACTAAAAATGAGAAAGCAAGTAGAATGGAATATTTCCCTAAGAGTGAAATATACTGGGTTAGCCATAGTTAAGAAAGGATAAATTAATTCATGGATTGCAATAGTCAAGGTTGCTGTGAATAAAAGCTGTCAGATTTGCAGACACATTAGAAATACAAGGTATTTATAAATAAAAAAATACAAGGTATACAGGAACAATATGCTTCTGCATCACTTCAAAGATGTTTATTACCCATTAACCTCCTTTTTTGTCTTGACATAGCACTATAGATTTTTGAGATTCAGAAGGATACTAATTTCACATCCTCCAAAATGACTGAAGAAATCTGTTCCTACCCTTCTTATATTAATTATTATATTCCTATTGTCAACATGAGAACTGTCTCCCCCAAGGCATAGGCACTTGAGAGAGTTTGCTGGAAACTATCTCTTGAAAAACTATCCTGTACTCCATCAGGAAAGTGAAAGTAATTAAAGAACTGTTGGAAAAGGAGACAAGAATTCCAACTGTTGGGAAGAAGCCTTTCAAAACAATTTGTCTAAAATTAATTGGACTAAAATCATTTCATGTTCTCATTGCTACAAATATTTTTGAAAATCCATATTCATGAAAACATTTAATTTCCACAAAGACAAATATGGACAATCTCATAGAAAGGAAGAGCAAAAAAATGTAATTTCTTTTAATTTTGACATATACAAAGAAACATCAAACACTTTCAGACTACAAAGAACCCTGGTTTGACAGAATTGCCCTTAGCAAAACCTTTAAGTAAACTTACACAGCTGTCAGAGTTGGACGCTGCATTCAGCTCATGCCAGTGAAGCCATGCCTGTTGCATTCTTATACACACCCCTTGACATGGAGCACCCCAACAGCTCCATGAATGACCAGTCTGTCCATTCCATTTGCCTGAAGAGGGCAACATATAACTGTCTCTCAGCCCACTAATCACCTGTATTTCCACATTGCATGGCCTATAAAACTCTGTGCTGATTGTGGAAGTCTACCCTAATGACTGAAGATGCTACTGCAGCTTCCACCATGCAGGCATGTTTACATTTATTTCTAGGCTGCCTTTCAGATGTGTTTTTAAAACGAAATAACCTTCAAGTGCACATTCCCAGTGACTCCTTAGCATGCATTCCAGGTTTCATGGGTAGCTAGGTTTTGCAGTCTTAGACGAACTAATAATGTACAGACACACATCCTCTTTTATTACAGACAGAACAACAGCATCAGCATCAACAACAACAACATCCATTTCTATACTGCCCATATCCAAAGCTCTGGGTGGTTCACAACATTTTTAAAGTCACCCATCCAGATTTCAACCAGATCCAACTCTGCTTAGCTTCCAAGATTAGGCAGAATCAGGCATTTTGGGTGATAATTTACCTAAAGTATGAGATTCCGCATAAATAAAATGCACTCTAAATATCAACAGAGAGACACACAAAGGATGACTATGAACAAGTGCTTTTACAAGTGCTTAGTTTTCAGTTCAAATCAAATAGAGATCAAATTGCCAACATATGCTGGATCATGGAGAAAGCTAGGGAGTTCCAGAAAAACATCTACTTCTGCTTCATTGACTATGCTAAAGCCTTTCATTGTGTGGATCACAACAAACTGTGGCAAGTTCTTAAAGAGATGGGAGTACCAGACCATCTTATATGTTTCTTGAGAAACCTTTATGCGGGTCAAGAAGCAACAGTGAGAACTGGACACGAAACCACTGATTGGTTCAAAACTAAGAAAGGAGTTCAGCAAGGCTATATACTGTTGCCCTGCCTATTTAACTTATATGCAGAGCACATAATGAGAAAGATGGGGCTAGATGAATCACCAGTTGGAATTAAGATTGCTGGGAGAAATATCAACAACCTCAGATATGCAGATGATAGCACTCTCATGGCAGAAAGTAAAGGGGAACTAAAGAGCCTCTTGATGCGGGTGAAGGAAGAGAGTGCAAAAGTTGGCTTGAAACTCAACATTAAGAAAACTAAGATTATGGCATCCGGTCCTCTCACTTTCTGGCAAACAGATGGGGAAGAAATGGAGGTAGTGACAGATTTTATTTTCCTGGGCTCCAAGATAACTGCAGACAGGGATTGTAGCCAAGAAATTAAAAGAGGCTTGTTCCTGGGGAGGAAAGCAATGGCAAATCTAGACAGCATACTAAAAAGCAGAAACATCACCTTGCCAACAAAAGTGCGTATAGACAAGGCTATGGTTTTCCCAGTTGCAATGTATGGCTGTGAAAGCTGGACCATAAGGAAGGCTGAGCACCGAGGAATTGAGGCCTTTGAATTGTGGTGCTGGCGGAGACTCCTGTGAGTCCCTTGGACTGCAAGGCAATCAAACTGGTCAGTGCTAGAGGAGATCAACCCTGACTGCTCTTTAGAAGGCCAGATACCGAAGATGAAACTCAAATACTTTGGCCACCTAATGAGAAGGAAGGACTCCCTGGAGAAGAGCCTAATGCTGGGAACAA